AGGTTAAAACCGATACAATCATTCTTAAAAGAAACGATTTAGTTTGAAGCTGCCCGACAGCGGAGAAGTAGTTGTAAGGTAGTCATTCCCAATGCCGATCACTTCCCTCGGTGATTCTTGGAAGAAGCACCGAATGCCGCCTGTGCGCTGATAGTCGTCGGGCTTCGGGCAATGAAGCACCGGAGTGATTTTCTCTCTATGTGTAACAAGGTGGCTTACGCCATCGCCCAGGATTACATCGTCGAATATAAATACCAAATTGACCTAGTAACGAGAAGAGACAGACCCATGAGAAACATTCGACAAGTCACAACCATGGAGTCTGTCAGCCATCTTCCTACAATTTTAGGTTGCTTTCTTGGAGTATTATGTCTCGTAAGATTGTCGCTTATCGGAGAATTTTTGCGCTCCTAAGGCTGACTGCAGTGTAGCACTTCATTTATAACCGCCTCTCTAGTCCGCTCGCGCGACTTCCGGGCCCGGCGATCTCTAACTGGACCGATCTTGTCTACATACGATATTGGTTTGCCGGGAAGGTCCCGTACTATGTTCATGGCCTGCATGAGAAATATGGTAAGAAAATGATTCGAGGACAAATCCATGGAATGGCCTTCCCGAGGTCGATCCTTCCAAGCTTGGTAATATAAGTGCTGACATGTGAAATACCAAGGTCCAATCGTTCGAACCGGCCCTAATAGAGTCGACATTTGCGACGTCGACGCCGTGAAAGAAATACACAAGACTAACTCGCGCTTCCTCAAGTCCCCTTGGTATCGAACGCTCCTACCAAATGGCATGGAAAACGTCTTCTCGACCACTGACCCGCATTTCCATTCTCACCGCCGCCGTCTACTGGCATCGCCGATCTCCGACACGTCATTGCATCAGCATGAAGACTTGATTACAGGCCGAGTGAAAATGACGATCTTAAGAATGGCAGAAGAGATAGAGACCCGTGGCGTCACCGACGTATTTAAATGGTGGCTGTTTATGGCGACCGACATTATCGGGGAACTCAGCTTTGGAGAGTCGTTCCGGATGCTTGAAGCTGGCAAGGTGATATACCAACGTGCAAAGCTCCAAAATATTCTAACGCTCACCACAGAAAACCCAATACTCCTTAGATTTGGAACGGGTCTCAAGCCTCCAACCGATTCGAACAACGTTCCCCAACCTGGTCCACTTCGGCAAATATCTGCCTTTACCAGTTTTCAAGCGCACCATAGAGATCGGGAAACGAATGGGCATATATGCAAGCCAGTCCATCGACCGATACAATAAAATGATCACCGAAAATCCCTCCAACCCGAAGAAGACATTGTTTACCAAGTTATTTGGCGTCGAGAAGGGCGGCCTTACCCATGACGAGATCAAGAAAGAGGCTCAAGGCTACATCGTTGCAGGAAGTGATACCACCGCTGTTACTCTGACCTACCTTACCCACGCTGTCTGTGGAAACAAACGAATTCGAGACAAGCTGGTCGCCGAGGTGGCAGTGTTATCTGAGCCGATCCATGACAACGACCTTCGGAATTTGCCTTATCTAAGTATGGTTATCAGCGAGACACTTCGTCTTCACACAGCTGTTCCTTTTGGTCTCCCTCGTGCTGTGCCTTCGGAAGGTGCCAATTTCAAAGGATACTTCCTTCCGAGTGGAGCGACGGTGTCGACTCAGTCTTATAGTCTACACCGGGACCCAAAGATCTTTCCCGACCCAGATACGTAAGAAAGATATTCTCCACGCAAAGAATAGCGCTAACTGAATGCAGGTTCAATCCCGACAGATGGGAGAACCCGACCAAGGAAATGAAGGATATTTCTATTCCATTCGGCGGTGGATCGCGCAGTAAGTGAAGAAATACATAATCTGACAACCTTGGAAAGCTTACCGGCTTATACTACGGATACGCATGTAGTCTGTATCGGATTGCACCTGGCCCGCATGGAACTTCGCCTAGGATCGGCCCTATTTTTCCGAGAATTCCCAAATGCTCAACGATCCGACAAAGAAGGAATGACCGAAAAGGACATGGAAATGCAATCCTTCCTCTTGATGGCACCAAAGGGACACCGCTGTCTGATTGAAACAAAGTGAGATGGTCCTACCAAGTTGCCCCGACGATATCATCTCCAGAGAAACGAGGCACTAGAACGAACACAAGTGTTATCCGGCCAAAATAGTTCAACCTCATCTCCGCAGCCTTGCAACGAATATGTTAAAAGCCTGGTCAAATTCTCCGCATCAAATCCGTGGCAGCTGATTTGGTCCTTGGCAGTTGTAAAACCCGCAGGGATCACATCCTGCGCGCGTACGGCTCGCAAGTGCTGAGGCTGCGCTATGTTCTGTGGCACTAGTTAGAGACCGGTAAGGCGGTGCCTAGCAACCTCTTGACCCGAGAACTAGACCGAAAGAGAGAGAACGTCATACTGAACGGGCATAACGGATATAAGCCAACCAAGGTGCGAGGGTCGGGAGGGGGGCTTGGGTTGGAGGCCTGGGGAATATGGCAGAAAAATGGACATGGCACGAGGCTTGTCCTGGGCAACTAACCGAGCAGGCTGAAATGATTCCTGTAGTAGACTTGGGGGGTGCCTGGGTATTAAGAAATGGGCGTGGTGTGTGGTGGAGAGTGCTGTTTGGCTAATAGTATTCAATAAACACGCCAGTTCTTTCACTGTATTCACCAAGAAGTCGTTAAGAAGGCCCTTGATTCCGGGAGAGTGGTAATCAACAAACTGAGAATAAAGAAACCACAAATTTTGAGATGAGGGAGCGTCAGGTGTGTTTCGAATGTATACTGGATCAGGTCCGTCAGAGCTAGACCCGAGATAGAGAGGTAGGGCGACAATATCTATGAACCTCGGGCAGGAACTTAAAGTAACCCGGAGCGAGCAAAGTGGCTAGGGGTGGCCGAGTAGCTTCTTTGGCCGGATGTATTTAAGATAACATATCAGCGCTCGATACCAGGCCATCCAATTTAGTAATCCAACCAAGTCGCCAGTTGATGGATACTGAGCCTAGCTAGCCCATGGTCCGTGGCCCGTGAGCCACCTAGGACTATGGGCCATAGCCTTAGGAGCAGTGACTGCGGTTTGAAGACCAGTAGTCGACTGACGCACGTCCAATGCCGAGGAGCTATAGTGGGAGGGCTATGGTTCTATAGGCAAGGGCCCAGAGCAGCCGATCTGTGCCAAGTACTTCGGGCTGTGGATTTGAGTCCAAGCTGGACGTACGTCCACAGCTCTAGGTCTAGCTGGGCTCCAGGTCCATTGACTGACGGCCGCGACAGCCCAGTGACTGTAGTGGCTCAAATCTTCTGACTACGCTCTTCACAAGATTGAAATCCTGTGAGTTTAGTCTCCCCTATAATTTAGTCTCGTGCTCATTTAAACCCCCTTCTTTGCCTCTTCAGCAGTTCTTCCTTCGACATCTCATACTTCAACCAAACTATATTCTACAATTCACTTCTAACTCCAACTACCAAAATTCTATCAATCTTAATCATGTCTGATTGCAGCCACAATGATTTCTCCCCCAGTATGTGACACTGCTTTATTTGCCTGTCAAGTTGTAGGTACTGACCACTTCTTCCTACAGAGGCCAAGGAGGAGCTCACTCCTGACTCCACCAAGTCCACCCAGGACAAGGTCAAGGAGACTGTCACCGACACCACTGACCGCGCTTCCTGCGGCTTGCAGACCGATGATAGCAAGGGTGTTGGCCAGGAGGCTTTTGTGACACCACCTACATAAGCTCGCTCAGTCCGGGCAAACCTCAATCCTTCTTCTATATCTACCTCTGAACCTACCTCTACTTCCACTCCAGGCACAGCTCCACCCCCATACACATTGTCTGTCACCAGACCCAGCGGCACAACTGTCATAAGCGTCGATCAGAACGACATACACGACCCGTGGGCTTCCCCAATCAATATTACATCGACAACTCCATCACCATAACTGGTGACGAAAACACTATCATGGTGTCATCTCCTAGAGTGGACTCTCCCACCGATCCAACTCACTAGGATGCCTAGGTATCACCTCGTCTGAGCTCCATCGCGGCCGTCATCATCACTACGTTGAACTGTGCAAATGCCCTCAACGATGACACAGGGTGCCCCAGGTCCATCAATATCCTGCTCTCGCGGGTATCCGGGTGAATAGCCGAAATAATAACATTCGCGTTATGGGTGAGGTGAACAAGTCTCAGAATGAGACTACCGACTCGTACTCCACTTCATAAAAAGATCTTCAAGAAGTTTAATCACTAACTAGCTTGGTTAATATAGGAGCCCGTGGGAGCTCCGTCGGCTCAGCGCCCCCGTTCGTCTTAAAGAGAGGCTATGAGTTGTTTCTTGAGAAGCTGAATGTCTTTCTCTTTTTGCTTTCAATCGTTTTAGAATGCGATCGTCTTTTGTTTCTGATTCTCTCAGAATTTGATCGCCTTTTACTTTTGGTTTGCTTAGGGGAGTTTTTCCAATCATTAGTTTGAGGTAAATGAGGGCGAGGTAGTGGCCTGGTGGCGGCCATTACCGTCATGCCCTTATACCATCTTAAGCTAAATGAATCAGATTATACTACCTAAGGAGTAGCATCTTTTAAAAGTGGCTTCTCCTAAAGTTCCCCCCTGCTCCTTCCTTTTTCACTAGGTAGGAGATGTCACCTTGGCACCTTCCTCATCTGACATCTCTGACCTCTCTTTCCATTATTTTCTCCCCTCCCATCCCCTCTCTCTTCTTTCTTCTTTCTTCTTCTTTTCATCTCTTCTTCCACTATTCTCGCTCTCTAGCACAGTGTTCCGATCATCCTCATCGACGAACAATCACCATTGCCATCGTCTTGCCAACTGGCACAGTGTGTCGGTCACCTCCAACCTTCATCCGATTGATAAGGTAAGGATGACTCATTACTCCAAACCTTATCTAATACTTATATAGTTTCGGACGCCAAAAATATCAGCACTTTCTGTTCACGTCGATACCATTTCGGAAACGCCCATGTTGACCACTATGTCGCGGCATTCAGATATGTCCGATGACTCGGACTCCCCCGACGTCAAGTGCTTCCAAGAACTACCTGATGACACATATGAAGCCATCGGGTCGGAGGCCAGCGCTATCCGGAAGATCATAAGAGAGCAGCAGGACCTTCCCATCAAGGTGATGAAATACCTGCGTTTCACAAACGTCCCATCAACTATTGCGGAAAAGTTTTCTTCGAGCTCCACTCGACATATGTTCAGTTACGACACTCGATCTATGATCATAAAGCTCGTGACTGGGGCCCATGACGCAGCTTCACGCGGCCTGTTTGGTGAAGTGCAAAATGTGGTACGCGATATGACACTGCATCGGTCGATTCACCCGGTAGGGTCTAAACGCGTCCGAGGTGTGTCTTCTTCAAAGGAGGCCGACGAGTCATGGGTCCCTACGCAACCTGTTCCAGGTCGCGATGCAAAATGGCCGACCGTTGTGGTCGAAGTTGGAGTCTCTGAGTCCTATCGAAAGTTGAAGGCAGATGCAGAATGGTGGCTCACGAACTCGAGGGGCGATGTGAAGCTTGTAAACATCGTGTCTATCAATCGAAAGACACCCAATATCAAGTTTGAGACTGTTTGTTTGGACATCAGTTCCTTACGACACCAGCGGCCCCGCTACGTCCCAACTATACGGCAGTCCATTACGACATCCCGCCGCGGCGCACAGATTACCACCAGCCCAGCAGTAGCCTTGACAATCGAGTTTGAGGAATTGTTTTGTTGCCAACCAGTCCCGCCCGAGCATAACATTGAAATCTCACCTGATCAGTTGGGAGATATCTCAAGCGACATCTGGACGGAGCAAGGTCTATAAGTTATTCTTATCTCTGTTAGCTCTCGTAGCTTTTTCAAACAATGACACAATACACAATCTTTGCTACAATAATCGTCCCAAGCGCCCAACACACATACCTGGTGTTGGTGCGCCCCACCAAACATTAGATCTAATAACTTTTGCACTTGGAAGCTAACAGATGGCGCCGTCCCTTTTGAAGAGGAAGTGCACTACTATGTATAAATGCAAGGCTACTCATGTCTGCTATAGCTCCATCTATCGATACTAGAAGCTAAGAATGATGATATGCGAGTAATAATAGCCCCGTGGGGTATACATAAAGTATATGAATAACGTATGGCAAAAAAATAGCATGGTAAACAAATAACATAAACTATATGAACCTTCCTGACCTTCATTCTCCTTCTTCTTCTTCTTCTTCTTCTTCCTTCAACCATCTTCCTATTTCCCGTCTCCTGTCTTCCAGAACTTGCGCAGCACTTTGACTATTACTCCACGGTCTTCTATGAGCCCTCAGCCGGTATGTTTCCTATCCATCGCCATCTATCACTTTGCTTCCCAGCTTCCTCTCGCTCTGCCTTTCAACTTCCTCTCACTTGATCACCTCGTTTGACATCCGTCAAGACATACTCCTTCGATACTGACTTATTCAGGTCCCTCTATTCTCATTGTTAGTGCCCACTCACAACATACAACATCAAGTTTGAGCCAGGTAAGTGACCAACAACTGAGCCCATGATTTCCCCCGGCCTAAATCCTGCCTACCTCATCATCCTAAAAAATACTATGTCAAGACTAAAATAAAATACGTTCAATTTTTTACTGCACTATTGTAGTGTCTGTCGAACAATTTTCTGTGGTCCCAATGCGAGCGAATCGAAACAAAGGACTTTTGGGTTCCATGCAGTATGCAGGGATTCGTATTTCGCAATCTCATTTCCCGACCCCACCCCCTGCGCTGTCTCCTTTTCACTGTCATCAATCAAATGTGCCAGTCTGTCTGGAAACCAGAGTTTCAAAAAAGCATCAAGGAGGCTGAAACAGACAGTTTTGCCTAGCTGTGACCAGTGTACTTTCAAAATGCATACTGCCCGAGGAAAGCGTAGGGTATCTTCCTGCATCCCTTGCTACAGGAGAAAACAAAAGGTACTTGAGAGGCAGTAGCTCGGTTTCCAAAGATAAATAGGCAATCACTGAAATATCTACAGTGTAATCGGCAGTCCCCGTGCAGCCATTGTACTCGCCGTCGGCGCCCTGAGGACTGCACCTATTATCCGTCAGAAGCAGTCCAGCCGGCCAACCCAGTGGTGCAGGCGGACATGCCCCGGGAAATTGAGCAAATCGGAAGCCGACGCCGAACTGATAGCACGGACTTCGTATCCAATGACCTGTTTCCTGGCGAGGGCATCAGAAATCCAACGAACAATCTATTGACAGAAGTATTTGGCTATTCCGCAGATAGTCACACCAATACATTGGCCCTTTTGCAAAAGGTAAGTCAATTCCAACGCGAAAAACCACGCATTTGGATTGCATACTTCTGTACTAACATGTATTCTCTCAGGGAGAGTCATACGAAGAAGAGAGCCTCGATGGCAAAGGCCAAGCCCTATCAAATAGCACTGCGACAGAGGCCCAGCGGGCCCTTGAAAAGATCCCCGATCGGCCAATATTAGATTTCCTCGTGAGGCACTTCGCCACTGAAGTAAACTGGTGAGTCTGTTCAAAATCTTTCGATCGCCTGGATCAGCTCTCGGGCTGTCTGACCTGTCGAGTGCACGACATTAGGATTGACCAACTGATCTACCTTCCATGGTTCCTTGAGCAATATCAACTATGGTGGACAGCCAAACCGCCATCGTCTGTGTTTGATATAGAGTTCGCAGTCGTCATGCTAAGAATGTGTTCTTATGCCTCGGAGTTTCTCCCCTCCCAATCATATACGAGCGACACAATTCGTGGTATCACTCTGGCAGACATTCGTCGAGCGTGTGACGATACCTCTGAAAAGGTTGCATTAATATGCACCCGTCTTAATCCTAAAGGCAGTCTGCTTCGTGTACAGCATCTGGCCTTTGCGGGGCTGAAATCCCGATGCGAGGGAAGAACGAATGACTTCCGGGATTCGCTCAGCTGCGCAATCCAAGTTGCTTTAAAAATCGAAATTGACAGAAACACGACAGAGTTGCCCCAAGGTATAGGGGAGCTAGAAGGGGAGATGCGACGCAGAGTATTTTGTAACCTGTACATATGGGATAGGTATGAGGATCGAGATCTCCATCTTCGCTTTCCTGCTGACCATTTGGGACGCATGCTCCTCTCGCAGTCTGTTGTCCCGGCAACTAGATCGTATTGCTATACTGCCATACCATCTGGGTAGTGAAAGGTTGCCGCGCATAGACCTAGGCCCCGAGCTTGAGGATAATAAAGACCTGGACGAATACACGGAACATCTTCTCCAAGCGCGCTTGGCCAATTTTTGGAGAACCTCGCCTGCAAACTGCAATTCTGAATATGATATTGTCGCAGCTGAGGAGCGGTATGAAAGGTTTTGTAATGAATATCTTACCACAATACCACCTGCTTTTGCCCTGCCGCCCAACGCACAATGGGATGAACACCTTTCAATGCTTCAGAAGCAAAGAGAAACCTTACATATCGCCATATTCCAGTCTCTTTGTTACAATTTCCGGCCGGCACTACTACAAACGCCAAGGCAGACCCTTCATCTCCCCAAATACAAGCAAATTTTGTTACTATCTCAGCGAAAGGCGCTCGCGGTCGCTGCATTACGGGTTCTGAAATGCACTTCTTCCTTACACGCGCTGATGGGCGGCTCCCAAACACGATTTCCAGGCATCATTCAACCGACGTTCGAAGCTTCAGTACTCCTAGTGTACCTCTGTATGGACCAAGCTTTGTTTGAAGGAGATGAAATTCGATGCCCCAGCCTGTTGACAATAGATCCTCTCGGGGCTAGCATGCGGAACTTGAAACGAGTGGAGTGCACGAACGCTTTGCGCGACGCCCTCCGTCGCTTGCAGAGGCTGGCAGAGGTCAGCCATATGGCCGAAGTGGGTGCGGAAGGTCTCTTGCAACTCCTTCAAAAAGCGATAAAGCCATCATGGACAGGACAGGCAGGACAGGCAGGAGAAAGATCCTCTTCTCTGGCAAATAATGATCTACTTCAAGCGGATAACGCCTCAGGGGACACTGGCCTAGCGGAATACTTGGATCTAAATCCGAACCTTTTGCCTGGTATGACCACAATTACCGGATCCGGTTATTCCGATTTGAGCTGGGAATCAATGGTGTCTGGGCTTCGTAACTTCCCACCCGGAGAATCCATGAACCTGTGATACAATTTTGTCTCGATATTGGGATGCTATATGATCCAGTCTTGGAGTCTTACCATAGACTCTTTTCTGCTCTTTGTCATTTTCGCAACTATTCCCTAGAACTATGAGGATTGCAACCGCTAGAATTAGACATCCTCTTTGGCAACTTCGGATTTTACTGAGCTCCACAAATCTGCGGGCCGTTGAATACGATAATCGGCCGAAGACCATCGGGGCAAGAAACACCGAATGTTCTCAGTGAAGTTTCGCAGTGATTGATTCATCATCTATCTAGCTTTGGGTTAAGCTTTGCAGTGGAACTCCATATATGTACCCGGTGAGGGATTCGTCGATTGACTTTAACATTCCTTTCTTTTATAAACACGCCCAGCTTGGCCAAATTGCAGCAATCTCAAATACACCAAGTCGATGATATTGACGAGGGAAGACAAAAAAACAATACCTCCGTTTCCCATTGAAAATAAAGATTGCGGGCTGTTCAGGCAACCACAACTCCAGAGCCGGCGCCGAAGAGTTTCTGGCGGCGCATGAGCAAACCTGAAACGGCGACAAGAGCTCCACCTACGATGACGAGAATATACGTTTCGGCGATCGCATCAACAATGGCGTCCAGAACTTGGGTTTTCAAGTCCAACGAGAGGTTCTGCACAAGGTCCGAATGAGCACCCAAGATGGCGAGTTGGATCTCAGATGCCGGCACATTAGGTAGAATTCGTTGAATTCTTTGCTGACTAGAATTCAGAAGAATGGCATTTGCGATGGCCAGAGCGATGGTAATACCCACGAACTGCGCCAGAGTGATGAAACCGATCGCCGGTGCAATGTTCTCCGCAGCCACAACGGCCTGGGTGACCGGGAACGATGCTTGGAGGAACATACCAACACCAGCACCAAGCAATACCGTGTAGCCGTACACTCGGGACTCGGAGGTGACCTGACCAACTGTATTCATGAGGGCGGCACCGGCTGCAGTGAACAACCCGCCCACTAGGAACCAAGGCATATAGTGCCCCAGTCTAGCCATCAAATTGCCATTGACAAAGACAAATACCACCATGACCACCACAAAAGGGAGCAGACGCACACCAGCATCCAGTGGCTCATCCGCCCGGGTGAACTGGAAGAATAAGGGTACCATGTAAATTGGCACGAACGCGCATGCGCCACCTGCGGCAGTGGCTCCAAAAAGAAGAAGTACAGTGCGCGATTTGAAGAACTGAACTGGAATTATACGCCGCGGGAGTGTGGTGCCAACTGTCCATACTTGCTGAAAGCCAGGCAGGATCCAAAGCACGCCGAAGACGACAAACATCGCGATGATTTTACCCGAGTTCCACGGATATATAATGCCACCCATATTAATACCAAGGATCAATGCTGTCAGCAGGCCAGCTTGTAGCACGATACCAAGATAGTCGAGCTCGGACAAGCGCTCCTTGACTGAAGCGCCTGGGCGAGGATCTTTACTCGGAATCAGGAAGATATAGAAGGGTGCGCACACTGCCCCAATGAAAAGGTTGATGTAGAAAGCCCATCGCCATCCCACGGACGACTCGCTAAACGCACCACCAATCACAGGGCCCAATACTATCCCAAGACCCCAGGTAAGGCCAGTGCAGGAGATATAGACTGGACGCTCGGCGATTGTGGTGGTGGTGGCGATCAGCGTCATGCAGCCGACATAGAGCCCCGAGCCTCCTATTCCAGCAATAGCCCGCCCCAGAATCATGACATTTATGGACGGGGCCGCACCGCAAATGGCCGAGCCGATCTCGAAAATAGTCACATGAAAGATGTAAAACCACTTGGCAGTGAAGTGGCCGTACATGCGGCCCCAGACCAGATTGGTGGCCGTCGCACTCAACAAAAAGGCGACACTCAGCCACGGCAACTTCTCAATGCCACCGAGCTCCTGCACGATGACGGGCTGAAGATCGGCGACCACCGTCGCGTCGAGAGCATACAGGAAGGTAGAAGCCAGTATAGAAGCCAGTGTCAAATACCACTTCCAGCCATTGATGTCTCGAGGTGGTACCTCGGGCTCAGTGATGGCTGGGGTAGCTTCAGAGACTTGGTTATTAGACTTGTCGTTCGATTCGTCGGCGGGACTGGTTGATCTGCCGTAGTAGTGTCTGTTCTCGACCGGGCTGCCGGAGGCGTCTTCTTGCTTGTCGATCACAGTCATGTCCGCGATTCTGATCTCAATTTTTTCGGATACCTATGCTGAAGAGCCACAATGGAAAGGAGAACAGCTCGGTTATCGTGTGTTTGGGGCAAATTGTACAAGGTGGGATCGAATAGAGGTAAAAGGGGGTAAGAAGGCTGACACAGAAGCACTCAAAATGTCTTTGGCTCTCTTCATTCTGACACTGGCTCAAGGGCGGATCTGCGATGTTAAGTGAAACACCTTGCCCAGCAAGGATATAGTTTGACTGATTGGACAGACACTCTGATTTGTCAAGCATTTGTTTATTCTACTGACAAACAAAGATTGCGATAACTAGGAGATTAATTCGATTGGTAATGACCATAGTGTGCAGCTCCTTGGACTTACCGTATAGGAAGGTTTACTAAAGCCATCTGGTTGAGTGAGGTATAGATCCAAGGGAGCCCTGGAGGGCTACCTCCATTATTACTAAGCCCGATATTTTTCGGCCCAGTTTTATTTTGAGCCGTAAATGTCGGCCGAAGTCAACACCGATTACCAATACAATTTATGTCAGTCGTTCATCTGTGAGGAAGGATACAGATTTCAAAATACCGGCGACGGAACGTGGTGAGCACATTCTCGGCAACAAACTTATACTGACCGAAGACGCAAAAGGGGAATGAGCAAATGAAGAGGAATTCATTCCTACATATATGCAGATCGCGTTATGTACATGCAAAATGGTATATAGGACGCCCGCATCCTATAATGGAAGACGATGATTTTCAGCATCACCCTCGATTTCATCCTTATGCGACACCAATTGATAGGGGCCACTAGAGCCGAATCCCAGGCGAAGTCGACGGTGAACAGCAAAATAAAGCCCACAGACAAGGGAGACAAGTACCACGAACACAATAGGCCCGAGGGCCCATGGACTTATATGGGGAGAGCCCTTCGATGACGATGGTAGTCGCTGGAGTAGTTCCGTTACACCGAGACTCTCTCCGTTCGAGTCGATTGCACGCACGCGGAAGAATGAATCAACCTTGGAGGCTAGTGGGATTTCAGTTTCAAAACCGTCGCGAGTGACCTGGTCGGCAGCCGTGAAGGTCATATCTCTGAGGTCTTCGCCGTCCCATGCCTCAACCCGCCATTCTGCTACCTCGGTGGCACCGTTCCAACTAACGAAGACACTCTCTGGCGTGATTGCAGTGTCGGGGATTGTCAGAGGATTACCAACCCAGTCAAACTTGAAAACTCGGTAGGAGACGACACGACCAAATGTGAAAAAAGCAGACGCACCAAAGTGCACATTGCATACAATATCGCCCTCAGGGGAGAACTCGGTGAAGGCTGCGGAGTGGCCCCAGCCCACGAGGACATTCCCTGTGTCTAATACTTGCACATTCCCCTGAGAAACGGCCATGATGTCATGTGGATGGTCGAAAGATTGCACTAAAGTTGCCTGTCGCGCTTCCGTGTCAAGATCAACCATCATCCCACGGCTCACCGCGGAGAGGTTGTTGTTATTGTAGGCTGCATTGTCGAACAAGCTAAGGCGGTTGGGTCCTTGCCAGCGAGCGTCATGCTGCCATGAGAAGTCGGTGGCAGCTCCATCCGAGGCATCGGCAAAGTTGTTCCGTTTCCCTCCTAGTGACCAGATGACATCACCGGTGGTGCCATCCACGCATGCAACAGTATGGAGATGGCGCATCGAAACTAGGTACCGGCCCTGATTATCCTTGTCCACGCTGTTGATGTGCGAGTGGTCATACCCCGAGGTCCGTGTCTGACCGCTGTCTCCAGTCGGATAATAACTATCACTCGGGTGGTAAAAATCGGATACGCGCCACTGGAATAGCAATTCTCCGGTTTCAAGGTTGATTTCCTGGAACATTCCGTCATAAATCCATCCTAGCTCCGGGCCGCCGATAGAGCTCAAATCCATCAGGATAGGGTCATAGATCATCAAAATTGCGGTATCGTTGGAAGTGATTTGGAAGTCATGCAGGTCGCCGTCATATATGCCGATTGGAGACACGACATACTTCTGGGTATAGGTTGAATCAAGCTGTGGTTGGACAATGTAATTAGAGGACCGGAACTGTGGTGAGACAGCTCGATGTACGACATACCATGTACCATGACCCTCGTCCATAACCGTCGTCTGTGTCTCCTTGCCAATAAGTGAGGTAGTTCTCGCCCTTGTACCGCTGCACTTTGAAATCTTGTGTCGTACCCCCGTTCCATTTTGTCCATACAAGTTCGCCAGCGGGATTCAGGATCATAGGACCGGGATGAGCAATTGAATCGCCTCGAGGCGCAAGGAATGTGTACCGGGGATCGCATTTTGCACCAGGCGGGGTGATTTCGACAAGGGGTGACTCCTGATCGAAGGAGATATAATGTCGGTCTGGACCGAACCCTTGAACTCCTAGATCATACCAGCTTAAACCGGCGCGGAACCGGAATTTGAGAAGTTGTGGGATAGCAAACAGATAGAATACAATGAGGCCCCCGATGGCGGCGAGGATCAGAGCAACCCATCTGAAGGGAAAGCGGGTGGGCAGACGATCATTGCGAAGCCAGGAGCTCAGGCGAACCACGCCAGAAGAAGTCCGCAAGAACATGACCGCATCGCGGACGGAACAAGGGATTCAAGCAGAGACACAGTATGAGCCTTTTGCGTCGGAGCCAGGAGCTGCGACGGCATGGTTTTATTTCATATCCTCCTTTAACGTCCCATTCCCCGCCGTCTATCCGAAAATCACTTCTTGTCGGCAGGAACCACTTGGTCTTGGCGACACGGACAGTGGAACTGAGCGTGTATGCGTATGGTGATTCGATAACTGGCAGATTTCCATAGGAATATCATGGTCCGCCAAGCTCCCCGTGGGTCAAATCCCTTCAAGAATTGCGCGTCTGCGCCAACCAGCGACGAAAACATCTGCCGAGAGGGTAGCGCGGCGGTAATTGCCTCGTGGCTAAATGGAGACCCATCAATCATCCAGTGAGAAATGGCTGCAAGATCTCCTCGAACGGAACGGCAACGCCATCAGCCCCGCGCGTCGTCATCAAAGCATTCCCGAGATTGTGGCGCTAATATGTGGCGGTTCGGCTCAGTCTTCCAATTTTGGGATCAGATAGGACAATTCAATGTTTCCTAACTATAGTTAACATATTAACTATAACGTGTGTTCTACTCAGTATATGAGAAGGATTCATCAGCAATATACTTTCCACCGTTTTTCCTTTCTTTTTTTCGCTGATCTCTTGCCCCTCTTCTTTTCACTAAACTTCGGAGAGCCTTGATGTCTCCATTCAGTTCAGTTCAGTTCCCAAGATAAGGGGATGTGAAACAGGTGAATTCGGAGCTTAGGACATACAACATTTGAAGATAAAAAAAAAGACGGATACGCAATTATGTGCTTCTGGGTTTTGACGCCAAGACGTTGTGGAATGTCTGTCATCCACTAGATGGTCAAGTGGGTATGTATTTCGGCGGATGCTGGGCGCTTGGGCGCAATTACATATGGGGTGTTTATCTTTGAACGTTGGAATAAGAGAAGCGTGAAGGAAGCCCTAGTATATGCACAACAGAGGGCCCTCACGTCTCCGTTGTGGGAAAAACGGTGGCTAGTACGTAGTGCGGACTATCTTATTGCCAGATATATATGTAGTCTTATCCCATGTTGCAACCAGACATTGAGAATTGCATAGTCCGAGAGAATCTGGGAACATAAATGAGCATAATCCGGTAACCTGCACAGCTTAGCCTTGAGGATATATTATTCTCACTCATATTTCGCGCTGTTGCCGAATGATTCTACCAATTTGGCTTACGGAAAAGCATGAATTATCCATGGATGCTATCAGCCAGCCGAGAGATCTCCCGATGTCAATTACGGACTAACCACTCCGTAGTTACCTATTTACTACTTGGCAAGCCACGCGATCTAGAAACGCTCAAAAATTTAACCATGGGCCGGAATGATGGTTATAATGAACCGGCTCAAGCCCACCTGCTCTATATCTAGAACCATATAGAATTGTAAAGGAGAGCTTAAAGGCTACCCATATCTGTATGGATATTATATGGTTGGACGGCTGAACAAGTTGAGGAACATTGGAAGGATATTCAACTGAAACATATTTCACTCGGAACGGCCGGCATACAATATATTTAGCCCGTGGTAAAAGGTACGATGTGTGAACATACAACATACTCCGGAAGTACGGAGGACTATTGAATCCCTTGTGAAACGCCCAAACCTTGCTGCAATATTTTTGGACTATTGATTATTTGTGGATATTAAATAAATAGTATGAAGTGCGTCTAAAAAGGATTGTGTACAATATTGTACTCCGTAGGCATCCTTATAACTAAGTTGACAAGGATGTACTCCGTACAGAGGCCTAGGTTGCATTTGAATTCATAAATATGAGACATTCAATATGGTGGCTTGACCTCCAGCGGTTTGTGCGCTGAAGAAACCGGAAAGTTCGAACCCGCCTGTGAAGTTAATAACCGCGAGGATCGAATCATATTCGAGTATCTGTTTTGTACTCCATTGACTCCATTGACTCCATTTCCCCATTCTACTTGACCTTCCAAGGGAAAAATATTCATAAGGAGCGGGATTGTGATTCTGGAATGTAAATGTCCTGCGTTATATTTTAATAAGTTTCAAGTTAATGTATATAAAATATGTATGAAATAGACAACGGTACCTGCAGATGCATCAATGTTCTCGAATAAACTTCTTCCTTGGCTCCACTTTCGGGCTTTTGCCTTTCTCCCTTCCCCCCTTGATTATAACCTTCCCCATGGCCCCTTCGCCTTGGTCTGATCGCGTTTTTCCCTTTTTCTTTATACGCGCGCGTTGCCATGAACGGAGCGATGGACAAGAATATGGTGTCCCAGGACGTCGGCATAGACGCGACCGACCAGGATGATTGGGACATGCAGCGCCTAGGAAAGACCCAACAGTTCAAGGTGGGTTGCGCATTTCCCGGAACCGCACTTAATACTGATCGACGATAGAGAAACTTTCGTTTTTACTCCATATTAGGTTTCACAACGACGTTGATGGCGACATGGGAGTCGATTCTGCTGTGAGTTTGGACGCGCGACATTACGATATTACAAAGGAACAATGTGAATAATGGAGAATGGCGCAGCACGAGTACCTACGGCCTGACCGATGGTGGACGAGCCGGCATGGTCTATGTCTATATTGGCTCGTTCGTGGGATTCTTCTCTGCCGTGATCTCCATGGCCGAGATCGCCTCGATGTAAGTTCGATTCGACCTGCATGTTGCGCACGGAGATTGACTAGCCAGCTCCCCAACGTCAGGTGGACAGTACCACTGGGTCAGTGAATTCGCCTGGCCGAGATGTCAACGATTCTTGAGCTATCTCACCGGTTAGACGAAGCCTTAAATTCCAATCCGACGGTCTCCAGTGCTAATCCGGTTCCAGGTTGGCTTTCGGTGCTAGGGTGGCAAGCTGCTTTTGCTAGTATTTGCTACCTTTGCGGTACTCTGATTCAAGGACTACTAGTCTTCAACTACTCGGATCCCTCCGGTTGGATGTATGGCTTTGAGCGCTGGCATGGGACGCTGCTAACCATCGCTATCGCCGCCGTCGGAACTGTGGTGAATACCTGGGGCTATAAGATTCTCCCTCCCCTGGAAGGCCTTATCCTAGCCCTTCACCTCTTCGGCTTCGTGGTTGTCGTTGTCCTGATGTGGGCTATGTCTCCGGGAAAGGCCTCTGGGGATTCTGTCTGGAAGGAGTTCACAAACTCTGGTGAATGGCCGAGCATGGGCCTCGCGTGTCTGGTTGGCCAGCTGACTCCGATTTTTTCCTGGACAGGCCCGGATGCTGCTACGCATATGTGTAAGTCAAACGCCACATCTCTTGTTCGCGCATAGCTAACCCATGGACATCTATTAGCTGAGGAGGTCCAGAATGCTGCCTTGGTGGTCCCCTGGTGTATGGTTTCGACCGCTTTGATCAACGGCGGTCTCGGTTTCATTATGCTAATCACCCTGCTGTATAAGATGGGAGACATACAGGATGTGCTCGCCCCGGCGAGTGGATTCTCTTTTCTCCCGGCAGTTAATCACGCCACCGGCTCCGTAGCTGCCACCAATGCTGTGGCTGCTATCATTCTTGTGATGGAAGTCTGCAGCGCTATCGGAATTCTTGCGACAGTCTCTCGCCAGACCTTTGCTTTCGCCCGTGATGATGCCTTGCCATTCTCTAAGCAACTGGCTCACGTTAACCGACGCACCCAAATCCCCATCTGTTCTGTGTTGGTATCGACTATTATTACCGTACTGCTGAGCTTGATCAACATCGGATCTACTGCGGCTTTCAATGCTGTCGCGTCTGTGATGATCGCTGCGCTTTTCACCACTTACATTTTGCCGATTGCCGCCATCATTCGGGTCCGTTTTCAACCAGGTGGTATTCCCCCTTCGCGCTTTTCACTCGGTATCTTCGGCTTGCCGGTCAATGTCTTCTCATTGGCTTGGCTTTGCTTTGCCATCATTTTCACCTTCTTCCCAACTGCCAATAACCCGACCCTGGTGGATATGAATTGGTCTATCCTTGTCTTCGGAGCCGTGGTCATTTTTGCCATTGCTTTGTACATTGTGCACGGCCGCCGAGTATATCGTTCACCTGTGACCCAAGTGCGCAAGTTTGAATAAAGCCATACTTTGGTATTATCGGATGAACTACAGCCCATTGGCTCAAAGGTTTGCGCTCAAACGCACTTAACTATTTTGGCACCAAGTGCTGGCCCATTTTCTTTGCGTATATATATGAAATTTAATAGCGATGTGGATATATTGAATAGATATAATTTGATACCCGAGGCAATCTGAATCCACCTGAGCAGCGTTGATTGAACTCCAAGCTTTGTGAGAACCTGGCATCGGCTCCTAATCGCACCGCCCTTCTGGCGTCCTGCATACCTCCGCCTTTCCCCTTTCCCTTCCGGGTATGGCGCCCTCACACTGAGCCAGTTTTGGTTTAGCGCTCTGGCCATCTGCCATCCGAACGAGATATTACACGTGATTGAATTGCTGTGGTCCCAAGCAGAGACTAGGGCCTAACATATATACGGCTGCAGCATACAATCGGATGTTCCGATTGCTGTTATGATCTTTTTGCGTAGCGTACAATAGTGCTATGTAATTACTTAGGAGCTGCGGCCTAAATTAGCTGAGAATTACATGGCATATCCCATACGATCACGTGCCGTTGGGGATTGAGCGCTTAGATCACGTGTCTGACGTAAAAACAACCGTAATCACGTGAATTACTCGTTTTCCACCTCCAGTCTTGGCATTTTGGAGGTGGTTTTTTTTGAACAGAATGTCAAGAGCACCCATTAAAACATGCAGCATATTATAGTCGGAATCTTTCTGTAGAGCAATATCTAGTCGAGATCCTTAGTCTCAAATGCAAAAAAGAAAAGAAGGGGAGTCTCGGTTAAAGCTCAACAATGTAGTCCGAGACGCCTCCGTAGTTACTTTTGAACTCCACCCCAGGCTTCTCCAGCACACATATGCCATTCAGATGCAAGAAACTATACATACATAGATATGAATCCTCCATCAGATACCTTGACACCAGACTGCACACCAAAGAGGAAACCCCGAACCTGCCCTCACTGTAAGCGTCGTTTTCGCCGCCACGAACATCTCCAACGGCACATTCGGATTCGTATGTCCAGACACCTGAAAGATAATCCTCACATGTAGAGACTAACGCCTTTCAGATACAAATGAAAAACCTTATAAATGTTCATGTGGTGCTTCTTTTGGCCGGCGCGATCTATTAAAGCGTCATGAGGACATTGGCCATTCTTCAATAACCTCGTCAATACAAGAGCCATCGCCCGTGACTACCGACGACAGTCGGAGTCTCCAATCACGGGGAAATAATGACCTCACGCCACAACACCACGGCACGTCCTTTTGGGGACTTCCTGATCTCCCAGGCGCAGATGTCTCAGCTGGGACGATTGATCCGCAGGAACCACTTCCCGATCTTCAATTTGAAGGTACATGGCATTCAGTCTACTTCACTCGAATTTGCGAATAGAATGTTCTAACTAGGTTAGGAGGCTCGTTTTTAAATGCCCAGGATCTCTTGGTATTGCAGGACTTGGAGTCGTTCAGCCATAATATGGGTCTCAGTACTGAATGGGCTCTTCCTTCCGAGCCCGGTATTCTTCAAATCGTTGCTGGAGAATCGAACCTAAATTCCCTCTCCACGATGGCTGCTGGAAACACATCGCAAGAGCGACCCTCTTCGCAGTCGGATCAACATCAGTCTTTAAGCCAACTTCCCATTGAACGAGAATCAGTTGGTAAATCTTTTTCCTGTGCTCAAGTTCTCTTTGCCTACATGATTACTGACAGTATTAAACTAGCCGAGTTTGGAGTATTAACTTTGCCCATCGTGAGGATCACCGATGACCACCGCAATCGCCTTCTTCGAGCTCTTGGTCGATCTCATACAGCTATGCCCGAACCCCTTTTTCCATCCTGTCACTCACTTACAAGATTTGTAAATGGATTCTTCGACGGCTTCTACCCTCACATACCAGTCGTCCATATCCCAACGTTCAAAGCAGAGGACTGTGAGCCAGAAATCGTTTTGGCCATGGCTGCGCTTGGTGCGCAGTATCGGCATGAACATCGGAAAGCAGTTCTCCTTTTTTATGCGGCAAAAGCGACTTTGCAGCAGAACGCACACGAAAGAGAAAGAATGGAATTGAACAAGAATGTTCGATCTGGCGGTGGACATGCAACATGTCCGGAAACACAGAGCTCGGGCTTCGGAAACTTCCCATACAGACAATTGATGCGCGAGACACGATGTGCTCTTTACCTAATTGCATTTGCAACTTGGCAAAGTGAGCCGGAAATCGTACGAGAAGCATTCAATCTTCAAAGCTTTCTCGCGAGATGTGTAAGAGAATGTCAACTCGATGAGACACAAGAATCCTTACAACAAGGATTAGACTGGCACTCCTGGGTAGAGAAAGAATCAGACAGAAGAGTCAAGCTGTTCTCCTTTGCTCTTCTTAATCTACATGGGATAGCATTCGGTACTCCGCCAGTGATACTGAGTGACGAAGTTCATCTCCGTCTCCCAAGCACATGTTTCGAATGGATCGCTCCAAACAAAGACAAATGGTCCATGGTGCATAAATTAGGCAATGCACGGCAAATGCTCTTCCAAGAAGCTCTCTCTCACCTGTTGAACGGCTCCCACGAACCTCATTTACTTAACTCCCAGCCGGTTCCATCTCCTTTGGCAAACTACATTCTTTTACATGCTCTGATCCAAAGAATCATGCTCGTTCAGCGGGCGTTTAACCCATACACCGACGAAGATCATACCCTGCTTAATCGCCAGAAGGAAGTCATTAGGTAAGAAGCCATCCAGGTATCTTCAATGACCCCAAATACTAAATCTTGTTCTTCCAAAGAAACGCTCTTCATGCCTGGACGTCTCAGTGGCAACGAGCCCCCGAATCAAGTCTTGACCCTCGCAATCCCAACGGACCTGTCACTTTCACATCCACGGCATTGCTCGGAGTCGCATACGTTCGACTGGCCTTCAATATAGGTTCATACAAGATCCTTGGAAGTCGAAACCCACAGGAAATCGCTGAGAGACTACGCCAAATGCCGCGTCTACCTAGCGGGCCTCATTTGCTTCCTGCAATATTGCATGCGACACATGCTCTGAGTATACCAGTCAAATTGGGTGTCAATTTTGTCTCACGGAGCCATGCATTTGTGTGGAGTATTCAGCATTCATTGTGTGGGTTGGAATTTGCAATCTTCCTCAGTAAATGGCTGTTCTGTATATCCAATTGTCAGAAAACCCGGCCGCTTGATGGTATGTGTATTCTGTATTCTTTCCCCCGAGAGTTGGCAATATGCTGACATGATTAGAACATGAGAGCCGCCTAATTAGCTGGATAGGGGATATTGTTGAAGAAGGAAGGACATCAGGCGATGAAGACCTGTGGTCTAGGCCCACATTATCATCTAATTGTGCCTACTTGGGATTCGCCGTCATTAAGCTATGGGCTACATTGATCAAAGGAAATGACCAGTGGGCGATATTGAGGGTGATTGGAGAGGGTCTGGATATATACGCTAATATTTGCGAGCGAACGTTCACCAGTTCTTTGGCAGAGGGCCAATGAACACGTGAGTCCTTTTATTAATTCTGTATTTATATTTGACGTAGCTTTTGCTTAAATACACTAAAGACTCCAAAGTCTTGTTTTGGCTTTTCATTCATGTCTGATGGCCTCGACCTCAATCTCAATCTTCATCGCCGGAAATGCCAATCTAGGCACAGCAAGAGAAGTCCAAATAGGACGATGGCTAGGAATACGCTCCTTCAGCCTTTGCACAAAGTAATCGAACGAGGAATCAATATCGACGTGGTACGAGCGAATCGAATAGACATCTTCCCATCCGCGTAGCCCCGTGGCCTGGAGAACTTTGTCCACGTTCGCAAAGGCGAGATCCACTTGACCATTAATGTTGTTGGCGTCCAAATCACCGGTCTCAGTCCACCCTCCTTGCCCCGCGCATTTGACGACTTTTCCAAGGATTACTGCTTGGGAGTAGTGGCAAAGATCGCTGTGCTTTTGGCCAGCGCCTTCCTCGTTGATGTAGGTAAGAGAGGACATTGTAATGGCAGGCTCCGGGCAGACAGATATTTCAAATGTAGGCAAGGAGTAGACTAATTCTTCGGGTTGGGTCCAAATCTTGGAATGATGTGTTATATATGGGCGGTGGAGGTAGGTGGAGGTTATTGGAGATGTTACCGCATGTGGTATAATATCGCCCCCACGATATCTCCAAGCCTCTCCAAACACCTCCAAGTGTGAGTATGGAACTATTTCTAAGTCGAATTTCGTAAGACATTACCAACCATCCGTCTAAGCCATCCTGTGAATTATAAAAGAGCACATGGTTGGATACTACACTCATTGCAACATCATTGACAAAACTTATCTCCCTAAAAACCTCACATTTGCTACTCATGCAAACTGACCGCACCCAAGGCATCATGTCCGGCTTATTCCAACCTCTCCGCATCGGCGATGTTGAATTACAACATCGAGTTGTCATGGCTCCTCTCACTCGCCTGCGCGCCGATGCTGAACACGTCCCCCTTCCTATGACCACCACATACTACGAACAACGCGCCTCAGTACCCGGGACATTGATCATCGCCGAAGCAACCCAAATCTCCGCTTCCGAAGGTGGAATACCTCATGGCCCAGGCGTCTGGACCGAAGCCCAAATCAAAGGATGGAAGAAGATCACCGATGCTGTCCACGCCAAAGGCAGCTATATCTTTTGCCAGTTGATTGCACTTGGTCGAGCGGCTGATCCAGATCAATTGAAAAAGGACGGGGGATATGATCTGCTTGCGCCTAGTCCTATTCCAATGGAATCTGGAATGCCTACTCCCAAGGAACTTAGCGAGGAGCGGATTCAAAAAATCGTTAGCAATTTTGCAATTGCCGCAAAGAATGCAATTCGCGCTGGATTCGATGGCGTTGAGGTCCACGGCGCGAATGGGTACCTCATTGATCAGTTCCTACAAGACGTTTCAAACAAACGACAAGATCAATGGGGTGGGAGTGTTCCGAACCGCGCCCGGTTCGGTCTGGACGTGGCTAGGGCGTTGGTGGATGCCGTTGGCCCTCAGAAGGTTGGATTCCGACTCAGCCCTTGGAATACCTGGCAGAGTATGAAAATGGCCGACCCAGTTCCCCAATTTGCATACTTCGTAGAGCAGTTGAAAGAGCTCAAGCTTGCGTATCTCCACGTCATCGAGTCGCGTGTGATCAACAATGTGGACTGTGAGAAGACGGAGGGAATCAACTTCTTACTTGATATCTGGGGCAGAACATCTCCTGTACTTGTTGCAGGCGGGTACAACGCGGAGAATGTCCAGGTGGCCATCGACGAAGAGTACAAAAGCAATGAAGTCGCTGTTGTCTTTGGTCGCCACTTCCTTGCGAACCCTGATCTACCATTCCGGCTTCGACATCAACTTCCCCTGAATGGTTATGACCGGTCTACCTTCTACACCGCTACACAAGAAAAAGGCTACGCTGATTATCCATTCAGTACGGAGTTCACGAAGGCATAAAGGAGTCGGTCATTTTCTGTCTCAGTTTCATCTTGGGTATCATATAGAAATACGAAGTCGGGCTTGTGATATTTACACAAACCTGGTCAAAAGGGAACCATTTCGGGATATTTTATCGCCTGAGAGGCATCTCCTGTTTCTACATATGAAATTTACGGATGGTTTTGTGTATTTTGCTATAAACATATGATTACTTTGAAAATATGCTTCGGGAGCAATCTTCTAAGAGGGAAACTCTCTTAAGAGAAATATTTTCAGACTAGATACAAGCGAAAGGGTCAAGTCTCAGAAAAGGCTATATAAGTCTTATGATACCGCGCGTAATGAGAAACGGAGGTCGTGATATATGGAGAGAGGAGGGCATACTGGGGTTGTCCCGGCACAGCTCCTCTGACACGACCAGGGTATTGCGCCTTAGCTCCATGCCGAAGTGGCGCGCCGGAGCTGAGTCGTGTCAACACAATGCTGATGCCGATGCTACTCGCCCTGTTGACGGCAACTCAGTAGCAACACACATTACTGACTCTAAATGTAAAGGAGTTCGCCAAGCGTTTGGCCCATATACCAAAGCTCTCGCTGCAACGATGTACTACTGTAATGCGGTACTTGCTTGTCATCAAGAATACTTCACCTAATTTCCTCCTTGTACACAGCTGAGGCTTCCATTCGATATCAATCACGCAATTCCAATCACAAATTCAGGTGTTCTTACCCTTCACCAGCCCTTGGAATGCGGTAGTGTCGCTATTCATTGCGTCAAGCCCGCCATTCTCTAACAGCCATGTTCCCTCGACATGGCGCGCCTTTAGGATCCTTTTTCTCGTCCTAGAGTACACTGCCGACTTCAGGCTCTTCGCAATACCAGTACTAGGATATACCAAAACACCAAACATCGCACAACCCGCCTTAGACGTCATGTTTGCTAGGCCCTTGCCGACACCCTTAACAGCGCCCTTTGCGCCATCCTTTTGGACGCCTTGGTACGGCTTCACCACCAAATCGGTGACGGCCTCAGCCATCCCCCATGCAAAACCTTTACCAGCAAGCGCAAAGCCGCTCTTGATTCCAGTAACGGGACCGTGATCCCGTGGCTCTTCGCCATAAAGTCGAGGTATATTGCGCATTCCCTCGGTCATAGCAAGCGGGATGTCCACGGTCATGCCCTTCAGCGCAGTCGGCACGAAGTTGGCAACACTCATCATTGAGGCCCCTGCCATCTTCCCTGCAAGCCTGGCTCTTTGCCGACTCGAAGAACTTCCGGAGCTGGACAACGAGTTCGCTGCGGAATCCATATTATTTGTGAGGGGGCTGGGACTATGGCCAGGTGCCTCTTTTGTCACTTGCAGGGCGCTTTCTCCGGTAAAGGTGCATTTCGACCCTTTTGTAGTTTGGCTAAATCTACTACTCAAGGGCCGATCTCTGTGACTGACTCGGTAGTCTTTATATTCCTCAAAGGGTTTGTAGAAAAATCCTAGAATGGAAGTAGTGAGGTCTGTCGTGGTCCCTAAAACCGCAGAGGCACCGCCTGTGATGGGATCCCACCGGCGATTCTCAATGATAATGGGATTAAGTGCATGCCTGGAGTCTGGTCAGGTGTGGCTCCAGTGTAAAAGGATGCTTTGCCAGAACTTGACGTACATTTTCAGTCGCTTTGGATCGAGCAGATCCTGAGCAATCAACTTCGCTGCGGCGAGTTTTGAGATTTTTACTTTCCTCGCGCCTGTAGAGTAAGACCACACTGCTGTTTGTCCTGGACATATATCACATGGAAGGAGCTCCAATGGGAGGTGTCGGTGAAAGGAAGAGACTGCTGCTTGGACGCCGATCTCTGAACCCATCTTTATCGCAATTGTGGAAGCTGCAGTGGTTGCTTGTTCCGTAAGGCAATACCTTATCCCCTCAGCCAGAATATCAACACTAAGCTCCTCGTGAGGGATAGGGTTAGGACCAGCGCCCGCTGCAGCAACCATAGTGCCCCAGAATGGCTGACTAATTGTAGTTAGTCGATTGAAACGTAGTAGTAGGGTCACAAGCGACTCACTCTCCGAAAAATGGGATAACAATTGTTGGTTTGGCATTCCGCAGACCACAGGCTGTTGTTCCAGCGCCTCCATGATGCACTACAGCCGCCACGTGCTGGAAAAGCCACTCGTGAGGACAATCTCCGATGAAGTGTATCTTATCGGTATTTGTTCCGCTCAAATTTGACCAGCCCCTGGAAATGATAGCCCGAACACCGGCAGCGTTCACCGCGTCAAGAATGGTTGCTGTAATTCCAATTTGGTCCTCGAGCACAATGCTCCCGAAGCCAATATATATTGGTGGTGGGCCAGATGAAAGAAAGGCCTGGAGATCTAATGGAGGTACGAATTGTGGGGGGTCACGGAAGAAGAAACCGCAGACGTCTAGAGACTGTTAGTCATCTCGATTGTCGAAGCATTTATGAAGCTGGCACTAACCAACATAAGACGGCCAATCCAACGGTTTTGGGACGAGGGCCGGGGACCAACAGTATGTGAACGGGACTTTCAATAATTCGGCAAGATGAGGCCCTTCAAACATGGCCACTTCGTCAAGGTCAAGCTCTTTTCGCCAACCATTGATCACATCACCCACGCTAACAGAATTTCTTAGCTTGATGCAACATGTTGCGTTTTAGAGAGAATCTTACCCTTGCCATGTAAGCCAATTAACAATATCGTAAGAGACCTGGTTTTTCAAGCCGTACTGTGCATCTTCGGTGTTCATATTCGCCAGTGGGTGTGGAAAAGACTTTGTAGCGCTCCAAGGCATGGTAAACATCAGGTGTACTGGAATGCTGAGTGCTTGAGCACAATGGACATGTGCAAAGCTCGGCGGATTGGCAATGATAGCATCAGCCACAAATGGGTGGTTTGTTACCATATCCGGCTCCATACATGAGCTCCAGCACCCGTCGAGCATTTCCCGAATCATGATGCGCTTGCGACGGATCTCACCTGTTCGTAGGCTTTCCATGCTAGGGATTAGTCCAGGGCTTTTCACCATGTATGCCATCAGCTCTGCCGGATCACCTCCAATTGGGTAAAACTCCAATCCCGAATCTCTCACAAAATCTTCAAACACATCATGTGTAGCGAGGCGCACCCGGTGTCCGTATTGCGCAAGTTCATTCCCGAGGGCAATGAAAGGTTGAACATCCCCACGACTTCCCACCACTTGAATCACAATGTTCAATTTGGCATGCCAAGCTTTACTGTTTTCTATGCTAGGTTCGGGACATATCGACGTATGTTCGAGACCCACGGACGGGCCATCGGCGTCCTGCGTCGGCAACTCAGAGTATTCAGGTGGTGGGGTAGCAGGTCGTCCCGGGAAAGTTCCAGTGGAGAAGATTGAAAATCCTCGCACGAACTTCGAATCCCAGTCGATATCGACGCGGCCGGTATCTAAGTGGCGCAGGTCACATCAATAATTTGAACACCAAGTGGTGCACCCGCCATTTTCCATGACAAGACAAAGGAATAATCATATAGCAGATAAAGTAACTTACCATTTACATGGATGCCTGTCTTGCCAGTAGTAGGGGGGTAGTTGGTATGTGACTCCGTCACAGGTTCTCCAGGGAGCTCGAAAGGTCCTTCCATACGGTCATTGCTGGACATATTCGTTGTGCTCCCCTAACTTCGGTGAATAACTGGAAATTAATCGAAACACCAAGATGTGAGAACGATAAAAGAATCTATCAAATAAAGTTAAGGGCAAGAGATCGAGGTCGAGAAACGACGTTCAGGTAGGAGACCACTTCGAGTTGATGGTCGTGTCAACCATTTTTTGGAAGAATGCCCGGAAAAAGATTTAGAAACTTCGCATTGATCCAAACCATTAGATCATGACGATCGAACTTTGATTTCTCGCTTGAAACGAATACGAGCATGTCCATTGATTGGCCGATAACTTTGCCTCCCGGTATCATTGTGGGTCGCAAATTAAGATTTGGCTTCGGTTGGTCCCGACTCGGAACTTCCAAGGTTCGGCAGAACCCTGAAGTAGTACTAGCACTCCGATTTATCAACCGTATTCGTATATCTTCTACGTCCACTTCCCTATACGAGTAGTAATTCCCCACACCGTCCATCTGTGGATAGATTCAGGCAATGCTAAGGAACTGCCCTCGCCGAGAAATAGACATTTATAGTATCTAATTTACTTAGTCGTTGGTAGGGGATCTTCAGGGGATGGCTAGCAGACTACGGGAACTTTTCTCTTAGGCTTGCCAAATTAGGCCATCCTAAAGACAAATTTGCGCTTCCTCACTTCCGAGCCCGTACCAATTTTCGTGTAGATACCACAGCTATCGTGTTCGTACATTGCTCTCATGCCATAGGGGTCGGGCCACGGTGTGTCAACGGTGTCGTGAAATCGCGTCGTCATCGATTTCCCCACAAAGACCTATAAAGGTCGCACGTCAATCACCGTCGAGTATCAGGAAGACAGAAAACATATCATCAAACAGAATCATGAAGACCATCAGTGCCTCAACATTCATCATCGCGCTTGTTGCCGCTACTGAACGAACCAACGTGTTCGCCAGACAGGAACCACCCAGCTGAGGCAGGAGGCGGCCAAGGAAGACATTCTCATCGGGTCCGGGGCGATCAATCCAACCTACCTCAATGATTCTCGGTTTGCGGCCGTCCTTGCCGATCAGTTCAACAGCCTCTCCCCCGAAAATGAGATGAAGTGGTCTTTCCTTAATCCGACCGAAGGGCACTACAACTGGGACACGCTCGACTGCCTCGTTAACTTCGCCGAAGACAATGACATGGTGGTTAAGGGACATGGTCTCATCTCGGGCTGCTGTAACCCCGACTACTTGCTCAATATCACCGACCCCATAGCGCTGCGTGCTGCGATGACGTCTCACTTCAAGGCGGTCATGCACCGGTACAACGGCAAGATGGATCGGTGGGACGTTGTCACCGAAGCCCTCGAATCCCAGGGCGGCGGCCTAAGCACCGACAACAACTTCTACAAAGTCGTCGGTCCCGGCTACATCGACGATGCCTTCCACATCGCTCGGGCAGCAGACCCGGGCTCCAAGCTGTTCATCAACGAGAATCTCGTTGGGTCACTCCCAGGGAAGCGTCAGGAACTCTACGACCTGGTCTCCGGACTCGTAGCAGCCGGCGTCCCGATCGACGGAGTCGCCCTGCAGATGCACATCACCGAAGTAGCCCCGATACCGGGCGTGCTCACAGACATGGTCAATTCCTACAAGGCGCTCGGACTGGAAGTGACGATCGCTGAGATGGATGTCCACACGCTCGACGCCGCACTGGAGACCGATATCTACGGAGCGGTTATCGATGAGGCTCTAAAAGCAGGAATCACCGACATTAGCTTCTGGGGCTTCACGGATAAGCACGCCTACACCTGGCTGCCAGGCGCGAAGCCATTGATGTTCGACGAATGCTACAATGCCAAGGGTGCGATCTATGCGACTCACACTGCCCTAGCGAACTTCGTCAGCGTGCCCAGGGGACCTTGATCCCCACCGAGCAATGAGAGTTTGCGCTTTACAAGACTGCGGTGTCCGAGGAATGTTCAACACTCCCGAATGCCTGATTTGATCCATATTGGTAAGGGCCCTGACAGCCTTACACGCAATTGGCAAGCGAGCCGCACACTTATCCTGTATACATAGTATTCAAATGCATTTATCTCACCACAACACCATAAGACTCCGTAATTAAACCTATCTGGACATGCATTTCTCTCATGCCCCTGAACTCAATGTAAAGCGCACTTTAGTAAGGCCCTCGCCTCATACAAAACTGTATAAGCCCCAGGATCGGGAGTAACTGTAAATAGTAGCGTGCGTCGAAAGATGGTTCGAGAAAGAATCGCTGAGGCTGAGTTTGATCCATCTTGTACGCCACAGCGGGCCACCTTACATGTACGTACATGGATATATATAGCCTGCATATCGCTTCGGCGGAACTGCGAATTGAGGTACCAGTCGATAACAAAACAGGATTATCTGAAGGTTATTTGCCGATTCGAATCTGAGAGACTGTAGGTTGTAATTCTGATGTGGATCTGATATGACTTTCTTTGCACGAGAAGGGTATGGAGTCTACAGATTAGAATTCTAAATCTATGAAGGGACGTCAGACAACCTGGATCTTGATTATCGACGAATGCGCCCCTGATGTGGGACCAGCATCTGGCAGGCTACAGTTAAGAGCTAAGGTTGTGTATGCTAGCTCACCCTACTCTACTACCAAATTCACGCTTCCTCTTTCCTTCTGCTTCTTGAATTCCGCCCAACATTTCGTTTCTTTTTTTATGGAGATAATTACTCCATTAGTCCATAAGGCCTTTTTCTTCATCATGCAGAATCAGGCACCCATGAAGAAGAATCATTCTTGTCGGCTTTGCCGCCGACCCACCCGTACTCGTTTTCAGGCCCTTTCAATGTACACAAAGTAATGAAAGGTGCCCCTTAAGCCAGAGCTATTTATATAGATAATGTTTCACTGCTTCATAAAAAAATGTATTATAAGACAGCTATAAGAGCTGTTCTGATAAATCGAAGATGTTGAACTTCAAAAATCCGTACTCAACACACTAGAAGATTGGGTCTCTTCCCGAACTTGACCACAATAACCAAGGCAAATCACGTCAAAATGCACAGCGAAATGTTTCCAATTCGCTCTGATGAGGAACCAATCTTTGCTTTCTATCGCTATAACCCCAGCATGGGTGGTGCTGTCCTTTTTATCTTCCTTTTTATGGCAACCACCTTCTACCACATCTTCCAGATGTTCAAAACTCGGACTTGGTTCTTCATTCCATTCGTGATAGGAGGTCTCTGTATGTATTAGCTGACTGGGTACGCTTCGATATGTGAGCTGACGCGAGCAGTTGAGATTGTTGGATATATCGGGCGTGCCGCGTCAAGCAAGCAGAGTCCAGATTGGACGCTAGGTCCGTACATAGTTCAAACTCTATGTCTCCTTCTTGCCCCGGCCCTCTTAGCAGCATCAATTTACATGCTTCTTGGGCGGATCATCCTGGTGCTGCAGGCGGAATCGCATGCGATTCTGAAAAGGAAGTGGCTTACCAAAGTTTTTGTTACTGGCGATGTAATGTCGTTTCTGTTACAAGGTGCTGGTATGTAATGTCAAAGAAATTCAACTAGCGCTCTAGAATGGTTACGCTGACTTTGTATCCAGGTGGCGGCATCCAGAGTAGCGGAAGCCTTGATGGCATGAAGACTGGCGAGCGCATTATCATCGCTGGCCTTTTTGTCCAAATCATATTTTTTGGCTTCTTCATCGTGGTCGCTGTTCTCTTCGACTTAAAGCTGCGCAAATATCGCATCCCTCGGTGCTTCTCGGGAGAGGTTCAATGGCGCAAGCATCTCAACATTCTATATGCAACCAGCCTTTTGATCCTCGTTCGCTCAGCCTTTCGACTTGCGGAATACATACAGGGTAATCAGGGTTACCTTTTGCACCATGAGGTCTACTTGTATGTGTTTGATTCAATGCTCATCTTCATTGCGATGATTGTCTTCAATGTCGCTCATCCCTCCGAAATCACTGGCCTCTTGGATGTTGTTCCGGATTACGAACTGTCTCGTAACCCAGGAGAGCAGATCGTCAAACCATACGGAGTTTAACCTAGCGCAGGATTTTGATGTTTCATAGCCACATCTGCCATTCCATTTTCTGTTTCCTGAATCCAAGAGTAGACAACCATGCCTTTTTTCTGGGGGGCACTTCTATTGCTCTTTTCCCGCTATTTCGCGAAAGGCAAAATTCCTGAGAGCCCTATATAGTGACGGATCCTTGGATGGATATATTAGATTATATGCCTTCTTCTCAGCGCTAAGGACTATCCGGCGCCGCAATTGCAGGTACTCACATCTCATTTTCCTCTCCTGTCATTTTTATTCAAGAAAACAACACCGACTGGCAGATCTTCGTTCAAAGAGGTGCCCTAAAATGTGTCTTACGAAAACCGTGATCTCTGCAAAGCTGTTGGTGTCGTCGTGTTTGAAACTTGATGGCTAGCAATTCGTTACATTTTGCTGGCTTAAAATGGGATATGCGATTTCGGTGCTTAGGAGGGACGTTGATGCCGCACAGAAGGTGGTATTTCCATGCTGGGGACAAACACACAACTGGGGTCGCTGTGCCGACCTGGTATGACAGGGTTGTGGCGTGTCTGCGCGTGTGGAGCCAAGGTGTAGGCCATCTTGACTGTGGCGACCAGAGTGGAGGGAAATTCTAATATGACATGGCCATTGAAGACCCCGTACCTGAGCTGAGATAAAAAAGAGACTATGTTCGTATTTGGGATAAGAATACGGGTGGGTCCCAGGCAAGGTTTGTTAGAGAGCCATAGATTGGCCATTTGGGTCCCACAGTGGATGGGTCTTCTTGATAAGCTTAAAGGACCTCGGCATGTTTCCGTTTGATGAGTGAGCTTTCTAATTCGGTAGCAAATTCACCTGGCCATTCATCTTTCAGACACGTTATTAGTTGTCATTTTATTTTCCGTAAATCTAGGGGTCATAGCACTGGGTATTTCCATTCCAAGGCGCAGCTCAGCAATGTTGATATTTAACGTGGCGCACCAAACTCGGCTATATTCATCTTCTGACTAGTGACTTGCTGTCTTCCTATGGACATCCCACAAGTAATATCTGCTTAGTTCTAGGACATGTCAAACCGTACTAAATGTTTCTCTGCAAAGAAAAGAACCTCTATTATACAAAACAGAATTCGATACCAAAAATTGATCCCCTGACGCATACGGAGTAAAGACTAGGGAATGGCAACTATCGTGGCCTTGAGACCACTACTATAACCTACAATGGATTCCCGGGAGAGTCTAGTGACCTTAAGGGCAGATAAGTGGATACTCATTCGGGTCGGTGAGGCTTCAGTTCAAATTTCAGAGCCTTTCAAATGACCGTTAGTTCGAAGAAAGTGGCAAATCCTTAATATAACTTTAATTTGTCCTCTTGCAGTATTTCCTTTTCTATTCCTAGCTTTTGAACGGCCTCATGTTCCTCTAGGTAGCAATTAGTTCCGGGGAGGTTTACCGCACTTCGAAGGATTTTATTCAAAACACTATACGTATATCCAGACCTCGTTGAACGATTTCCCATCGACCTGCCTACAACTTGTGTGGACGGAATTGGAGACTGGTTGGTGTCTGCGTCTCTGGTTGGTATGGACCGCCGTACATTCGGGTCCTTCGCCGCATTTTATTTTAGCCAACTAGTCACTAGAGATAGACTGAGCTGTGCGCAAATGTCGTCAACCATGATGGATATTCCCTTTTGCTATCAGGAACTTCTCTTATCCGAAAAATGAATGAAGACATGGTAGTTTCGGCAGCTTCCGACAGAGCTGACAATCCACGAGTTAGAAGACATCGCGCCCGCCACACGAAGTCCCGCAATGGCTGCTATCCGTGCAAATTCCGAAGGGTCAAGGTGCGTCTCGTCATTCCTAGTCTTGTTGGTTTCCGTTTCCAACCGAATTCTGATTTCGTAAAGTGCGACGAGCTTCAACCCGCTTGTGGCACATGTTCTTCCAGAGGCGAACCCTGCTCCTACCCTCCCCCACGCGTTACTTCGAGGAAACCTCCCAGATCAAGAGCGGACACGGAGAAAGACGGTGGCTTACCAGGTCCTTTCGAACCATCTGATGAAGGTCCGCTACTTGGTCGCATTCAGCCCTTATCAATAAATGTGACAGCGCCGACGATCACCTCGAACCAATCCCACCAACACCGGCATGGAGATCTCGAAATGAATGATTTGAAGCTCCTTCAGTTTTATCATCTACACACTGGAAGACAAATGAGCTTGCACCAGAGGAGATCCAATGTTTGGCAGCAGATTATGCCCGAACTAGCGAGCAAAAGTCGATATCTGATGCATCTGCTCCTGGCATTGGGGGGCATGCACATGATTAAGCAGAAGGCCGATGACAGCGGGACTGTTGTTGAATCCTCAGATACCGTGGATTTGGGAATCATCATGGAGCATCATCAAAGAGGGTTGGAAGGCTTCAGAGAAGAAGTGTCCCGCATTTCTCCCTCCAATGCCGAATCAGTCTTCACGGGGTCTTTACTTCTTGTTGCATTTGCTTTTGCATTCCTCAGAGTTCAGGACCTTAACCCGGTTACCGGGGCGGCCGAAGAGATGAGTAGCGCGATGCCCGACCCTTCTTTAACAAATGAGATCCCTCGCCTTAACTGGTTATACCTCAATCGAGGTGTAAATTCGGTGATAGGTGATCAGTGGCCTGTCTTGAAAACCAGCCGGCTCCGGCAGATATTGATATTACCGCATACGGATCTGTCTTGGGATGATTTATCATCCGGTGCACCATCTCGGCTTTCTCGTTGCTCACCCCGTCTATTGAAATTTGCCCAAGGTGCTCGTCACGCAGTGGCTTCTATCAAGGCTTCTTTGGATGCGCTTGAGGCCAATTGGGATGGCTTATCTAGCCGCTCCGGCACGCCAACATCTCAGCCTTCACCGTCCGCGACTTTAGACTGGGCTATAGATGCGCACAACGAGGCAATAGACATTCTGGACTCTGTTTATTCACGCATTTTATCCGTATTGCGGTGTGCAGCAACCGAAGATTCCACACACAAGGAGATCCAGGTGGATTTCGAAGAGGCAGCGATTCTGTCCTGGCCGGTTTTTCTCCCCAGTGCTTTCTTAGCGTCACTTGAAAGAAGCGACCGTGACTTCCTTCATGGACACTCGCTCGTCATCCTCGCTCATCTATATCTAGTAAACACTCTGGTCGATACTTGGTATATGAGAGGCTCCTTTGAAAACGAGATACTGAGGCTCAACGCGCTTATTGGTTCCCTGAATGGGAACGAACTGCCAGCATTCATGCTATGGCCAAACGAGGTCTTGAGCTTGCCACTGACCTGTACATCTTAAGCCACATGTATAGGAACAGTTGAAGGACCTGCGAGCGTCGTTCGCTGCATATATGTGCACGTGTGGAGCATACATTACATGTCACGTAAATCCATCCATCGAAATATAGTTGACAGCACTTGGAAAGAAATCAGCCTTGATGTCTGGCCATGGATCGTCGAAGATTTCCCAGGTCTCTCGTCACATTAGTTACTTGATCACTGGTTCAAGGTGGTTTCCAGGTTATTATAAAGATTGTTCTGGTCCTGAAGCTTATGTCAACGGTGTAGTCTATGCATAACAAACTTATATGTAGTATTCATAGGCCTCATCCTCATTAATGTCACTAATACTCTCGAACAGAGATTGCCAAGGAAAACAAGCCCCTAGAGACTGTTGAATGTTGCCCTACCAATGGGAACGCTCAACTCCTAAAAAGATATTGATTCTATGGATCAAGACAAATACGAATAATGCTCTCAAAATATCTATCTAGGCAGGCGTGAAAATTCAGTTCATTGCTGCTAGTCTACTCTGTTGCCACATGGATAGGGACACGATCGGCAAACCCGATAAAACGAATACGGGTGGGTCTACGCCATCTACTGCCCCAGATGCGAGTACGACTCGTAGCGGCTCTTAGAAAAAATTCCACATTCAAATAGCAATGGCTCTCTCTATATTTAGTCGTCTTCTGCCGTTTATATATACCTGGAACATTCTTGCCAGTCCTTTAATTCACCTCCAGGTCCCCTCGAAGTACTCCGTACACCGTGCCACTTTCAAGCCGATTAATCCAACTTGGGCATCTATATAACATGAGTTCGAACGAGAATGAAGGGGTGAACTTTGAACTCTACCGCTATACACCATCTCTGGTGGCAGCAATTGTTTTCATTGTTCTGTTTGTCCTTGCGACTTCCTACCACCTTTACCAAGTTGTTCGTACACAATTCTGGTACTTTACCATCTTCGTCGTTGGAGGAGCCTGTGAGTCTAACCGGCCTAGATATAAGGCCTTCCGAAATCTCGGTCTAGGGTATATCTGACAGGGTTCTAGTTCAAATAATAGGTTACATTTGCCGGGCGCTCGCCCACAACGACAAAGAAAACATCCCAATATATTCAGTTGGCACGATCATGATTCTTCTTGCTCCTCCTCTCTATGCAGCATCCATATACATGACCCTGGGTCGACTCATTGTGCACTTGGACGCCGAGAGCTTGAGTCTGGTGCCAGTAAAATGGCTTACTGCAATCTTCGTCACAGGGGATGTGATCGCGTTTGTGATGCAAGCAGCAGGTAACCTTTTCCTTTCACTACACTATTCTCGATCACTAAAAGCTAATGATGAATTAAGGCGGCGGAATCATGGCAAGCGGAACTCTTAGCGCGATGGCCACTGGCGAGCACATCACAATTGGCGGTCTTGCCGTACAATTAGTGTTCTTCAGTGTGTTTATCATAGCTTCTTCAATCTTCCATTACCGGATTCGGAATGCTCCGACTGAGAAGTCTATTGGCCGATCTCGGTCTCGCTCAAGTACTTGGGAAGCCGTCATGACCGGGCTGTATGTGGCCAGCGTTCTCATTCTCATTCGGTCAATTTTCCGATTGATCGAATACGCTCAAGGCAACGATGGATATCTCATCAGCCATGAGGTATTTATGTATGTCTTTGATTCGATGCTCATGTTCTTCACTATGATTGCAATGAGCATTTTCCACCCCTCGAAGGTTCTCTCTCAGCCATCGAGACTACGACGCTCGACAGCAGTCTAGATGATCCATCGGCCCACCGGAGTTAGACGGATTCGTTTTGTTTTTTAACCTAAGGATCGGGGGTAACGGTTTAGAGATTTCCAGCATGCAATTTTTCATTATTTTTCAGATGCCTGTTTATCACTATGAGACTCCAATTTCCAAAATAAGCGACCGCATTAACTGAAACTGGGTTATTCTGGACCTTTTCTTCCTATTCAACTACAGCGCTATCTCAAGAAAAGAGTGTCGGCCGCTGGAATGCTAGGCAAGCTCTTTATTGCGACTGCTGGAGGTCTACCACTGCTTTAAGTCTATTGAAGGAGTTGTTCTGTTATAAAAATTCCAGGCGACGGGAATTGCGGACTATCAGGGTTAGAGCGCAGTGGTACTATCACTGGACGTTTAGACAGGGAGATGTGCTCATATGCAACAACGTATATTACAAACTGTACTAACTATCAAATCTGATATGGCGCACTAGCAGTTAGAGACTGCTGTAGTACTCCCTGCAGACATCCCTACGGATTTTGTTTGGAAGGAGGAAAGGCGTATATTTTCTCACACGAAACAAAGCTGCATAATCTAACTAGTTAAAGGATTTGACAGTGACATAATCCTCTACACCAACTTCCCTTTTAATCGCGTTCTACTCCCGAGTGCAGCTCGCGACACCATTCTTACCAGCTCGGTCGAAGCCCCTCCGTCCAGCATGCACATATATGACACGGTGTGACCCATATAACACAGAGCGTCCTATAAAAGTTTTCATATTTCTCTGTTAAGGGACATGGCATCTCAAACCCGATATGTCGATGAAGTCATTGCATGTATCTCGATACACGATTTCGAAGATCGGAGCGATGAAATCACTAAGCAACTGATTCAAGTCGCCGTGGACATCGGCTTTCACTTTGGTCGGTCATGGAATCTCCAAAGAAGACTCGAATCCATGTTTGCGATATCAAAAAATTTTCAAATCTACCGCACGAGGTCAAAGCAAGCATGTGGAATCCAAACAGTCTTGGATGGGCAAAGAACTCACGAATCTAACCGGCTACTGGGCAGCCAGACAGCAAAGAGTCATACCAATTGGAGTTTGGCGAGAATATGAATGAGTTCTTGACCAAGCACGACGACCGACCTGGTTTCCAGACCGCCTCTCTCACTTTTGTAGACCGCACCGAACAAGTATCGGAATGTTGATGCAATGCTTTGTACGGCGCCTGGGGTACTCGGAAATATTCTTCATTGAGTTCTGGTAGCTCACGACCGAACTTGAAAACCACTATGCTTCTACTCCATTACTTTATTGACGGAAGTTTGCAACGGCAGGGTGTATCATCGCGCAGGGGCACATGCCGACTTGGAACTTTTTGGCTTTACTTTTGCAGAAGGACGGCCGGGGACAGGCTCGAAATCTAGCCAGGTCGCGAGGTGGTGACAAAGTTCGGTATTTGGAGCGAATGGGCCAAGGAGACGGCCTAGACTGGCGAGATCGTGCACTATTGGCGATTTACTATGTCCTGGTCCGATGACCGGCTCAAGTCAAATTTTTATCGTGTTAAGGCTCCTTGTGAGCACGGTGACTATTTTGGCGACCGATACAGCATTGCTTACTTCGATCAGCCCTTAGGGATTCTTTGATCCAGGAGCCTTCGAAGAAGCATGCGATGGTGACTATGGCTCAGTTTATCGAAACCGCTGTGTAACGGAACTTTGGCCTTGCAGGAGAAGTCGAGGACGGTCGCAGGGGGATAATCTGTTCAGAACGCGTGGGCATAGAGGTTATCATCTGGCGTTGGTTAGGAGTGTCCGCACAAGGGTATTTTCGCATAGGGGCTCCGGGCAAAAGATAAGTGCGGACATGGAGAGGAGAGTTACGGCCTGACGAGACAGTAACGCCGCAGTAGAAGTCAATGAACATATTACTCCTATAGGTTTCCAAAGTCCCACCAAGTCGAGAATCCGTCAATGTTTCCGAGACCGGATTCGGAATCTGGATATCCCACATTGTTCTCCATATCAACAAATTGCGAGGGATCCGCCCATAGCCAGGGGGTATTGGTCATTAGACTGTCAGCTGGCGCAACGAGTTTCTCACCAAGATCGAAGTCAGAAGAAGCTGGCGTGGAAGATCTGTGCGGCATAGTTGGTGGAATGTGGGCAGCTTGGCCACCATCCGCAGTGTTAACTGTGACATTCGGGGACATTGCAACAATAACTTCCAGAGTCGAGGCAGGGTTGTCTTCCGCCTCTTCCGTAGGGACAGTTGGGGTCAATGATGGATGTAGCAAGCCACCCGTCGATACTTCGTGTGGCTTTGGTTTGCAGTTGACTTGCAGAATATCCCACATTAAAGGTATGCTGAGATGGATCTTCTCAGGCTCCCAATCATGATCAATATTTTCGGAACCGGTAGCAATTCGGGTCATCTTGTCCAGCGTTTCATCCTGCGCGTTTATTAGCATTAGAAGTTCCTTTTTAGTGTCATGAGACCGACCAGGATTCCACAAGCAGGCGAAAAAGACACGAAGCTCTTCAGGAACCTTCGACATTTTGTAAAATCAACCTTGGATTTGTACTTTAGTCGTGGATCCGCAGCACAGCAGTAGTACAGATGCACCGTAGCTGCAATGGCAGCAGCGTGTCCGAAGAATGGATCGATCAGTCGCAGCTTCTTCTCAGACACCATGTCTATCATGCGAACAAGCCAGGTAGCGTGTAATAAGACCAACTCGGATGAGCGTCTCCAGAAAGCGTTTGGGATGGCCAGGTTGTCGTTGTACTGTGATGCCACTATGTAGAGAAAGGGGTGGTTCAGAACAGTCAAGATGCAATGGTAAGTGAACTGTAGCTTCAGCCACGGGGTCCAGTAGTTTCGGCTCAGTCTCAGCTCCTCTGCTGTTCGCTCATAAAATTTGACCGAGTCATATCGATGGCATTGGGAAAGCTTGTTCTCAATTTCTGTGAGGTCGGAGAGCACCATGGCGTACATGGAATCGTATCGCCAGGGTTCTTTGAGCCTATTTCGAGCACAATCGGAGACATATATTCTCACTCTGCTCCAGACCCAACCAAAGTGGGCCGCTAAGCTCCAAATCCCCAGGTCGGATGATTTGGAGCAACCAAGATCATCTGTTGGCAGTGGTGGCGGTTTCGCCTCGGTCGCATCTTGTTTCGCACGGTCGATACTGGAGGCAACATAGAAAGTGCGCATGACCTCTGATGGGATACAGAGAAACCCATTTTGCTGCCCGTACGACTGTTCCAAACATTGGAGACTCCAGAATAGACGCTTCTTTCGCTCGCTCATGGGGCCTTCGCCAGTATGACTCGATTCGAGATCCAGCGTTGCTGACCGGCAAAGATGTTGAGCAAGACCCAGATGGAAGCGACCGAGGTGTATATCACCGTCTATAATAAAATCAATATTCGGAAATCTTCGGAATCTCTTCAGAGGGCCATACCTAGAAATGAGGAATAGGAGAGTAGACAGAGACTCTCAATGGTTTCCAGATCCACTGTGCCGTTGGCCATACGAAGCATGACCAGACTTCTTGCACTATCACCATAATGTTGTAAATGGTCACGATCTCTTGAAAATCGTGAGGTCAAGGCGAGTAGGCAACAAATGAGCTCCTCTGAGAGATAACCTGGGTCTGAAACCTGCTCGCGATCAAAACACCAAATCGGCTGTCGATGGCAGTATTCAAAGTAAAGATCGATAGCTTTCGCGATCGCGGATGATGACGGGTGAGAGCTCGAGTCATCGAAGCCAAACCCGAGGAAGAATGGGTCACTGACTGTGCTTGGTTCAATAGATGGTGGGCGCGATGTGGCACGATAACATGTTTCTGAGATTCCACTTCCTGTCTCCTGCGTCTTTTCTGATGCAGGTGTTTGAGTTGGTCTCCCACCACTCAGGATGAGGTTCACCTTCTCTTCGAGGAATGCCAGCCTGTCGTCCTGTAGAAAAGAAGAAAGAGAAAGTCAATAATTTGCTACTGACAGCTACAAGCCAGCACATACAGACTGCCCTCCCCTGGAGCCTCTAGGTATTGTGGTATAAAGACATGGCTGGTTCAGGCGGACACAGCTTGAGCAGGACGGTTTCTCGGCCGGACATCGGGTCTTCTTTCTTCTGTATGGAGATTAGTTCCACCCCCGCCAGATAGACAATGTATTTACCTTACCTGCAGTTGAGACAGGCCTCATGCGAGCGCAGCCTTCCACGAGCGTTCTCTCGTGGCATTATTGAAGGGAAAATAATTAAAAAGAAAGTGTGGAAATTAACGTATGACAGCAGTTAAGATAGATGGATAAATGGGATGAGATCGTCACCTGGGCATGACAAGATAAAAAGAGGGGGATAGGGCAGATAATGAGATAGGCTTGGGAGTTATCGGAGAAAGGGCGAGACCGGATAAGGACCGAAGGTTTTCTCCTCTTTTCCCCCTCATAGGTCCTTTTGCTACCTAATCCAGAATCTGATGTGCATGGATTGGCATGGATGTGGATATGCATATATGAAATTAATACTGGAAAAGGTTAAATGTTCCATGTAATTCTTCGTTTTTCTTATCTTTGCTAAAATTGAGTTCTTATTTGGACGATGGCGTAAACTATCTCCAACTGGCAAGTCATCCAGAAGTATAATATTATTGCTTGCTATATAATTGGTCAATTTCGTCTTATAGCTTGGAATCCTGATAATAAAACCGTTCATATGACCTTTCATGCTATACCTGTCCCGTGATCAAAGAATACCTACATATAGTTGCATACATGTAAAATGTCATCTTCATAATAAGAACAAATGAAAACTAAAAAAATAATAAAAATAATAAAAAATAATAATGACTAAAATAACCCAATAATAAGGAACGAAAAGAAACGAGAAGAAACTCTCCAGATGCAAATCATTAAACCACCATAGTCTCAGTTGCTGTTGCTTCCTGCAGGGGAGGTCCACCCCCACATCCCCCTCCACAACAACCTGAGGTCAAAGCTGATCCGTCCTTAGTTGTCAACTTGGAGCAAAAGTCCATATCCTCCTTGGTGACTGCTTCGTCCTTGGGAAGTCTTTGCCGTGCAGGCCAAAACTCCTCCCCTGCATCCTCTTCCCGCTTCTGATGCTGTGTCATCAAGTCACGAACGACAGCCTGGAAGTGGACCAGTCCCTCCTCCGTGGAGGGGAGTGGGTCATTCGAAAAGTCCCCTGTGTTTATTTTCTTTTGTGTTTCAACACAGAGATCTTGGTTTTCGGAAATAATACGCTTGTACACTTCGTTGATGATTTCAAACTCTTCATCGCTAGAGCTTTTGTTGCGGTAGACTTCGCAGCGTACTGAGCCTGTGGTGGGGCCCGTAGATACGAGTCGCTGCATGAAGAAGAAGTGGGGTCTGCATACACAATTAGTATTAATCAGAGTGCATTGGGAGACAATTGCACTTACGTGACGGTCATAGCAGCATTGGGGAAATAGTAGGTGGTGGCGGTCTTCAGCCCATTGGCAATCTCCTCGGATGTGGACTTTCCATTCACGGCGCATGAGCTGAGATTGGAATTCGAGGGAATGTCAGGATGAGATGTGTTATAATTGTCTGCCATGATCTTCCAGTTGTACTCTCCACTGATTTCCCAGGAATTATCGAAGTTATAGTCCTCGAAGTCAAAACCCTCGAAACGTGACTTTAGGTCGACTCCTTTGAAGTCATCTTCCCACGAGACCTCGGGCTTTTCGCCGGCATCTAAATTGAGCCAGATGAAACCGTTGGCATCAATATGAACGTGGATAGGAAGAAGGCCGTTTTTGCTCTTATCGAAACCTTCCACCTCTTGGTATCCCGGTGCCTTGGCAAGTTTGCCATTAAGGCCATAGGACCATCCGTGGTATTGACAAGAGAAGATTCTGGAGGTGCCACCCTCTTCGGTAACCACTGGGAATGCACGGTGCCGACAGACGTTGTGGAAAGCATTGACATTTCCCTCGCGATCTTTCACCAAAATGAAAGCGTACCCGGCGATGTTGTATCGGAGCCAGTCGCCTGTTTTGGCAAAACGCAGCTTGTGTGTGGTCAAAAGCCATTTCCGAGAGAAGATGGCGCGTCGCTCAAATTCATGTATATCCTGCGAAGAATACCATGAGGCGGGGAGAGGCTGAACTGGGGAATTGTCGTCGATAGGGGTGGGACGGGGCTCTGTTTCCCCACGTCCGAAGTAATTCTTGAGCATCGACATTGAGAAGGTTAAAAGACAAGGCTATGCAGAAAGACCAATCGAGGAATGCAATCTAGTGTTTGTTGTTTATTGTCTTGAAAGTCTGTTAATTCTGTCATCTAGAGCAGAACGTGAGTCCCTTAATATAGGCACGGAATCTCTGGATCCCAATGACAGCTACCATGACCATGAGTCCATCCTTCCCAATGAGGGTATGGAACCTGTGTTTCGACCGATCACAGGATCGGAGCGGAGGCTAAGCCGTTCATCGCCCGAGCTTTTTTAACATCCGGTAGAACGTGCTGGAGCCAAACGATCAAAGAGAAATCGGTTGACGGCTACAATTACCGCGCTGGGCGAACGCCACTCGGATGGTCGGGTTTTCTACCGATTTTGTGGAATCAATAAAGAGGAGAAAGTATGCATGCTGCATGGTCTCAATGTTCGGAGGGTATGAAGATAAGCGCTTGCTATTCCAAGACAGGCTAGACCGTGGTGCATCGCTGTTACGGGGTTTAGGATCAACCCTCAACATTGCATATGTATATTTAGCTAACTTGAAAAAATAGATATCGAACTGTAATCGCACGAATAAGACGAAGGCAATCCTCTTGGTATCAAACTTCCCCGCATGAGATCGCCGATCACGTGAGCGGCTCATGAGTTTGTCAAATGGGTCAATGCACAGTTCTTTATCTTCAGATACAACCTTGAAAGGGTCCATTATCTGACTTGAAATAGGGTAAATCACCTACTTTTAGTTGTGTCACAGTGTAGGAATTGAAGAGTTGAAATAAAAGATGTTAAATATGGAAACATTGAATTGTAGCTGGGCTCGCCAAGATGTACCGTACAGATACGAACTGATACGAGTTGGTACCCCGCACTGGACGACTTGGTGAATCTTCAAACAGTCTTGATTGAGATAGAACTTCTCATTTTAAGGCCAATTTGCCGAGCACGAGCTCAATGGGCGATAACTACACCATACACAAAGTTTCTTTAAAGCGAACCCGGCAAGCTTGTGGTCCTTGTCGGTATGTGCCAAGCCCCCGATAGAAAAAAATTCCCAAGTCCTGAGGTCACGGTACCTGATCGCTGACTTTCGATTTCTGATATGCCATATTGATAGTCGAAAGAAGGCGCGATGCCCGGGCGAGAAACCAACATGCTCGCTGTGCCACAGACTAGGGCAACGATGCTCATACGGACCGCAGGCGTCCCGTGCGAAGAACCATCCCGTTTCGGCTGAGGTGCACAGCCGGGAAACACAGCACAGCACCAATGAGGTATTAATGTTTCTTGCGCTGATTGAGCGATTGGATTGGATTTGATCTGGTGTCTGGGACTATGCTAAATATATCAGATCCAAGGCGATGTCTCGAGCTCCGGGTCGAGCTCCGCGAGGCTTCAGCGCATCGAAGAAAGACTGGACATGATGGCACATTTACTTCAGTATGGAAAAGACTTCGTATCTAAGCCTCGGATGTCGCTAATCAGACACTTTCCGAATCCTACAGAGAAGGCTTACCAAGGTCTAATTCGTTACGCGAAGTATCGAATGATAACCAGCCCAATGATGATCGAGAGCTGCGAGAAGATTCTTATGACGACTTCGAAGCAATGGAGTGCCCAGAGAATCACTCCCTGACTTCTCAAGAGTATGTTTTAACTTTCCTCTCATTAATCGCCGCAGATATCCTAATGAAAATGAAACGAAAGTGGGCTTCCAGCTGCATTTATCGAGCAGGAAGTGGAGACTTACCTTACCTACTTTCATGACCAGCCATACTGTCTTTTTTCAAAAAAATGGTTGTTGAGATATACGAGCTCGTTACCACCAGAAGTCGCATTCCCATTAGTGGCCCTCACTTCCCGTCTGCCTCAACGATTTCGCGGACCTTTACGTGAGAACACATCCGATGCGAGAACATTTGCGGAAAAGGCTTGGGCCCTCTTGTCAAATCAATACAAAGATGGCAAGATGGGTCTTTCATTTCTCCAGGGTACATTTCTCATGGCCCAGGTAGATTTTGCTGATGGAAAAGCGCATCGAGGGTATACGTCGGTTGCCCTTGGATTGCGTGCGATTCAATCCGTGGGGTTGAACAGAGAAAAGCACTCGCACCTCTCTAATGACCCGGAGATCGAGACAAGAAGGCGCATTACTTGGGCCTTTTTTATGCTCGATCGCAGTTATAGTGCTTCCCGAAATTATTCACTGTCCCTCTCAGACAAGCAGTTCACACTTCCATTTCCTTCCCTGGAGACCGAAGCACTATTCGGTGATAATGAGTCACGACCCCACGGGTCTTTGCATGATGGCCCTGGAAAGCAAGGGCAGAAAGTTGATCATGGCATTCTCGTCTGTCTCCTGAGGCTGTACTCTTTATGGGGGAAAGCCACGGAGTACGTCTTTGAGCCGTTTGCCGAGAGCTCGCTACCTCCCTGGCAAACTGGGTCTGCTCTCGCGATCCTCGAGTCAGAGTGGTTGCAATTTGAGACACATTTTGCAGATGCCCATCGATATATAAACGTGGACTTCAAACGCCGCGCCAGAGAAGATCCACAATCACGTACATATCTCTCGACCTGGGTGTGTGTTCAATTCCTTTTTCATTCAATCCAGTGCCTCCTGCACCACCCATTCGTGATCATGACCAAGCTTCGCAACTTTAACGGAAATCTATCGGCAACATTTCTGCAAAAGTCATTTGAGACGTCACTGCTCCACTCTCGATGGATAGTCCGGTTCATAAAGGAAATGTCAGAGGTCAACTTGGAGACCTGCGATCCTTTTCTGGGATATTTGGCTGCCATCGCAGCAACAATTCAGCTAGAGCACACTGGCAGCAAAAATCCGCAAATTGCTCTTCTGCTCAACAAAGAATTTCGAATCCTTGTCGACTTCATGACGGAGCTGTCTGTGTATTGGGAAAATATGAGCGTCCTGGTAAGTCTGCTAGGAAAATATTGAATCAAAGTGCTGATTAGTCTTCCGCTCAAGGTTAACAAAGTGAATGAACTTGCCGCTCGTCATCAAAATTATGGATCACTCTATTATAATCAGGAGGGTTTCTCGGGCGCTTTGTCCAAAATGCCAACCCCTTCGAATATGCCTAGAATGTCCGCAGAAGATGAGGGTCTCATGTGGGAAATCCTTGATTTTGGCTGCTCATCGGGAGGAGACGAGGCAATGAACTTCGGAAATTTGGCTATTCCCCGAGAAAGCAAAATCCAAGCAAATGAAAGACATCCCATGCAACGATCAGGTCAGCAAAACAAGGATGGTCAGATAGGGGGAGTGAACTCAAACCTTCCAAATCTCCACCAAATATCTGAATCCATCAACGAAGGCACTTTGCCTGAGTGGCCATTTCAAACGAGGGGTGGTGGTGACGTGCTTGCGGCAATGCCGGACATTCCAGATTGGATGATCTTGGGAGATTATATGGCAGAGCATCTGTGAGGTAAAGGGAGTTTGCAATTCTGTAAGATATTGTATATTGGATATGTATAGATGTGCTATCTATCCTTATCATCGCGTTCGGCTTTTGTGGTCCTGAAGGTAATGGGTCTGATATTTTCATAGCATCATAAAGCACTGGAGGCCTCCAAGGTTGATCTCGAACCACTTGGATGTATGTTGCAAGGGAATGGATCTGACTGAGCTTGGGGAAATCGAAGCCACAACGCAATGCCCGTTTCTGCAAATGCCTTAGGACGTGCCTCGAATAAATAACCTTAGTACAGCCAGGGAGATTGATAGTTCCAATAGGGGCATTGAAAGGGCTCCCCATTAAAATGACAATATGGCTGGACTGCATACTCGAAACCAGTCATCAATTCTTCCTGAGTCTTCTCAAGTCCAGAACTCCAGTTGATTTGCTCGTCCAATGAGAATATCCCAGTTGCGCCAAGCCAACTGGCAGCGAATGCTCCCAACACGAAGGCGGGGGTAACAGTCGATCGTGCTTCGCTGTCCAAGTCAGGAATTCACTCAGCCGCAAGCAAACCTATCATCTCCCGTTTTTTGCACATGCTACACTGAGCCGGTCGAAGAAGACGTCGTTTCTTGGACATAGCGTCAAATACCAAGTCTCTTTGTTATCCAGATATTTTTTAATTCAGGGGCTGGCCGTTAAATTCATTATATTCGAGGTAACTCGGTCTGCATATGGTAAGATGCCTAGGGCGAGTACAATTTTCTTAGGTCAATAGCTCTGGAACCAGGGGGTGCTGAGGGGTTTGTGGAGATCATCCAGCGCAAGCGGCGGGGCTAAAGAAGGACCGGGATGATGAAAGTCACTGTGAGGTATGTGTCATGAAAAAGCACTTGACCAGAGTATCTTTCCAACCTCAAGCTCAGTTCGTCGCGCCATGGTTGACTGTGCTATATTGAGACTTGGTCCCATAGGCTTACGATTTGGTCCCTTTACAGCATCATGATAGCCGAGGCCGAGCTAAGAGTATATGATGCTAGTCCCAGGTTCAGAGGCAAAATATCGGTTGAGGCTCTTGTTATAGTTCTCTATTAGTGATGCTCCTTGTCTCTCGAAACATTCACTTTACAAGATACAGATAGGAGGTATTACCCACTACTACTTGTCTTCAGGCTCACTGAACGCATGTCGGAAAATGATCCATGTCCTCCCCTCCGTAGTCTCCGGTCCTAGTCTCCGGTCCGCGGCTCCTCACTAAGGTTCTAACAAGCTCAGTAGCAGGGGCTCGCCATTTCGTGACATCAACGTTCTTACCATAAGGGCCCCGAATGCCAAGGCATGCTATTACCATGAATCAGCAAATTCACCGAAAACTATAGAAGTTTCCAAAATGTGTTCAACTTACCCCGCAGCGAGTGCACAAAGACCAACTGCCAGACCTGCACCTAGTTGAAGTAGGCTTGTATAAAGAGGGACTCTTTGAACGAGATTGTTCGCAATTAAGACCGAGACGACTAGCCCATAAGTCCCCGAGAATACCAGCCATAACAACAGGAACGATGTCTAGCATCTTTATTAGCCCTTGACTCACACTTCATTCTCTCGCCCAGGCATACTTTTCACGATGAGATTAGGTCTCAGTATCCCCGAGGAGCAAATCCCAACGCCAGACTTGGCAGTTCCGTAGGCTGCACCAAAGGTCGTGAAAATGATGGCACTCGCACAGCCCAAGGCTCCAAAGAATGGCTGTCCATGCACACTCAATATCCAGAAGACACCGTCGTGCATCGGCCGATGAACCGGAGGAGACTTGCTGCGTACGTAGGGCTTTAGGCCATCAGCTAATGGTCTCACGAGGCTGCTATAGTATGGACGGGTGGATAACTAGCCTTACCAAAATTCGGATAGCATCTTGTCTTTTATCGTATTAACAGGAATTTGAATAACAGGTTTGATCTGGTGTCAGAATGCTTCAACGAGGCACAGAACAATAATTGGGGCGATGAAAGTCAGTGAAGGTTAGGCAGCAAGTTAGCTCTATATAAGAGGATGTCAGCTGCACACAGTCAGTTCATTCTGTAAGCCACAAGAGATCTCCCCGCAGGGAAGACATTATGATTGGCGGCCATGTTGCTCGTCGACCTTCGTTTTCGTGGCGGAGGGCCCACCGGGTAATGACTGGGAGCCTAGAGCCTGAGACCGATGTAATGTAACCTTACCGCGCATAGAGGCCGGCCATGTCCAGATACTATATGCATAATCCCGGGCAAATCAGATCACTAGTGCACTAGGTAGGCACCAGCGCGCCGCCTAAGTAAGAGTGCTGCATGGTGTCTGTGTCTGTGTACCACCTGGCAGTGTTAGGTCGAATCGCGGTTCGTGCGGGTTCATTTCAAGGCTTAACCCCACCGTGAGCCAGCGTATCGCGTATCATCATCTAAGGGACAACCCATGAGCGAGAGTCCACGATCAAAAACCTCTAGAGCATTTAGATGAGTTCCGTTTATAATCCCCAGGATGGATCTCCACCCTTGGAGATGAAGGGACTTCAATTCAGAGAGCTGGAAACAAGCGAGGATGAGCGGCCTGAGCACATCTTCACCAGAACTTCCTGGAATGCAGACATCTCAATGTTACTGTCTTCGCCTACAGCCATTTTACAACAGGTCCTTAGAAAGAACACGCCAGAACCGCGAGATGACTTCAATCCAGTCGATTCCAAGACACCCACCCTAACCAGGCAACAAGACTTTGTTCAAACACTTGTGGATCTTGTCGCTTACAAATATCCTAAGTCGAAGGTCTTGGAGGTCAAGGTTGGTGCAGAAGATGCGATCAGCATTTGGCTTCAAAGGAACTCGCCGCCATCCAATCCGATCCGAGACGCCCGCTCACGGTACCACTTCGCATCAACCGAGCCAACGGCGCTCGTTGCCGCGCAGGATCAATATTCCTCACGGCCCCCCAATGCAGAATTTACCATGATTAACCCCGTCGTCTCTCAGGAAATCCTAGTGGCGTGCAATTCGATCTGGTCATCGTAACAATCTCGCACTCCGCATCAGCGGAGGTAGTAAGGGCAGTTGTAGCAAGTGTGCATTTGTCCATGCACGACATTGGTTAGTCCTGGTGATTGTCCAAGAGACATCTACGCCTACTATAGATATCCAAGCTGCCCTTTCCCACAACAATTTTGGCAGCATTCACACGTTGGGAGATAACGTCTATCTGTGCTCACTAGTGCGCACTAGAAGCAATGAAGAGGATCATATTTCTGCGCGGGCAATGATCAAAACGCGTCAGTCTCCTGCCAACCGCCCAAGAAGCCCCTTCACAGATCATTGAATCTCTTCGAACCGGAAATTCGATTGTTGATAGTGTTATGGATGTGGCGAGCAATATCAACGCCAACGAATCTCTTCTCATCCTTGATGAACTATCAACTACGGTGATGGATTGTCTGGACGGGAGACTATGGAAGATCTTGCAGCATCTCATTCAAAAGAAATGCCAGACCCTATGGGTCACCTCTTGCGCCCAGATGGATGTCACCGATTCGACCAAAGCTGCCATTAGTGGTTTCTTCCGCGTCTTACGTGCTGAGGAACCTCTTTTCCGTTTAGTTGTTTTGGATGTGGAGCAGCCATTGAAGCCTACCACAGTGACAGCCATCAAAGCTTGTCTCACTCTCATGGCCGAGCCTCAGGCCAAGCAACTGATAGAGAGCCAGTTTGTAGAGCGTGGGGGCGTTCTACATGTGAGCCGAATCCTTCCAGACACGACACCCACCGGCCTTCAGAACGAGGATCCTAGCGCCCGGAAAACAGAATCAGTCGACCTGCATGCGAACAATACCTGCATCCGCCTGAGTGCTGAACGGCTAGGTAACATTGACTTAGTGCACTATTGAGAACTCCCGGTAGATTCTCTGACGTTGCCTGGTGGCTTTGTTGAAGTTGAGATCTTTGCCGCCGGCATGAACTACAAGGATGTTGTGGTCACGATGGGAATTGTCCCTGGTAATGAGCGCACTCTTGGAGGCGAAGGCGCAGGTGTAATCACTAGGCTCTCTCCAGAAGTAATCTCATTTGCAGTGGGACAACGTGTTGTAGTTTTTGACAAGGGAACATTTGCCAACCGAGTCCAGACAACCCGGGGGCGGGTTCATAGTATTCCAGACTGGATGACCTTTGAACAGGCCGCCACCTTGTCAGCAGTTTACCTGACGTCAACCTATTGCCTGTTTGAGCTGGGAAACGTGGTCAAAGGCCAGCGCGTTCTCATCTACTCCGCTGCTGATGGTGTTGGTATCGCAGCAATCCAACTGTGCCAATATGCAGGTACCGAGGTGAGTATTGCCTTGATGCGGAGTGGACTGATCACTGAGAAAAGAAACTTGAGGACTGATCTATGGTTGTACAGATCTTTGCCACGGATGGAACCGACGAGAAACGGGAGTTCTTCAAATCAACCTTCGGGCTCTCGGATGACCGGACCTTCAACTCACGAAATACTGACTTCGCTAACCAGATATCTGATGCTACCAACGGCCAGGGAGTGGACATCATTCTGAACTCATTGACGGGTGATTTGCTCGACGAATCATGGCGTATCTTGGCCGATGGGGGTACAATGATTGAGATTGGAAAAAAAGACATTGTGGATCGTAATAGCCTGGCCATGGAGCCTTTTGATCGAAATATTTCATTCCGAGCAGTAGATATGTGCATGAGCGAGCACCGGACTATCTCGTTCCTCGGTAAGAATCCCATGCTGCTCTAGCGGTCTCTCCCATACGCTAACCAACAACCCCCTTCTTTAGATTGATGTCGAGATTATTCCAGATAATCGAGGCAGGGCACGTAAAGGCCATTGCACCCATCCATCAATTCTCCTTTGCGGAAACCCCATCCGCTATCCGCGTTTTGCGTGCTGGAAAACACATCGGCAAGATTGTCATTTCGGATGCAGCGGAGGCCGTGGTCAAAGTTCCAGTAAGCCACTTTTGCCCTTGCGTACTGCTTTATTCTTGGAATATCGTGCTCATGCATTTAGGTCCGACGAGCGCCCAAAACTCTGAACTTGCGCATTAACGCATGCTACCTGATTGTCGGTGGCCTAAAGGGCCTTTGTGCCTCTCTCGCCGTGTATCTGGCCAAGTGTGGTGCAAAACACTTGTTTGTGATCTCGCGCAGCGGTCACACCGACCTTCTTTCGGGGGACGTTTCGATCAGGAACGACCTGGAGAAAGCTTTCCGGCAGACTACGGTGCCAATTGCAGGTATTGTTCAAGGTGAAATGATGCTACGGGTAAAAGAAATTGCTTCCCAATTGATTCTATCAGGGTTAAATCCCAAGCCAGGGTGGAGGGCTAACTTATTGGGTTGTATTTTCTACACCATCTAGGATCGAACCTTCTCCTCCATGTCCGTCGATGAATACCACGGCGCACTAGCATGCAAAGTCCAAGGAACACCATTAAAATTTGCACAATGCAGCTGAAAATATAGACCTCCAGCTGGACTTCTTCACCATGTTTCCTGTATCTCAGGAGTCGTCGGCCAAAAAGGTCAAGCCAACTATGCCGCTGGTAATGCGTTCCTGGACTCCTTCGCCAGCTACTGTCGTCACCTAGGTCGACCGGCCTGTGCTGTCGACCTCGGTGTTATTGAAGATGTGGCTTACATTCCCGAACGAGATGGCATGCAACAGAAGCTGGACACCAGCATCTGGGTGGGCATCAAGGAGGCCTCTTGCGTCGCATCCTCTGCTTTTCAATTCTGCAGCAAAGGGCCGATGCGCTATCGACACTCTCCGCCACGCAGATAATCACCGGTATCCCGGTACCTCAGCCTGAGGACTCGCAGTTGTTGCATGACGCCCGATTTGCCAGTCTCTTTACCACGACTGGGCGCACAGCGACCCGCGGTGGCGAGGGGCATAGCTCAGCTGGTTCCAAGGAGATCAGGCATTGTTGCTGCTGCTTCGATCCAAATCCCCGGATAACGCAGCGCAGCTTGCAGCGACTGTAGAGGTAGTCAATAAGTGCTTAGTGAGAGTCCTTCGGCTCTCGGAGCCCATAGATACCGGACGGCCTCTGTCGGTTTACGGCATTGATTGCCGTGGAAGTCCGAAACTGGCTTCGAGTTGGACTTGGGGCTTTAGTAACTACGTTGGATATTCTGAACGCTTCGTCGCTAATGGCTCTCTGCGAGAAGGTTGTAGCGGAAGGGGCCACTTCATAGAGCCAAAGAGGAGTTGAGACGGGGTTTCGTCAATACTCAGTCCTTTTAAATATAGAAGTCTCTTTTTCTTGTCTTCTTTCTGATCAGTTTTACAACTGGGCTATCCGACAAATTCGCTATTCAAAAGGGTACTAGTATATCAGACTTTTCTCCCTTAGTAATTGCGCAGGGCAAACGCAAAAGGAGCAAAGTTTTGCCAGGTTCCATACGTAGGGTGGTGGTGTAAAGCGATATTTTCTCGTTCCAAGATTCATGGTAACTAGTGCGTTATTGCTAAGCAAAAAAGCGAGTCGAAACTTTCCCGAATCGGGGAAGAAGAAAGAGAAAGCAAGGAAAAAGGGGGGAACAGCTGTGTGCCTGGTCCAGTGGTCGGCCGGTCGGAGATCTCATCTCCGGATTATCCCTGCAAGTGGAAGCCACAGACTGACTCGCAGGCGCATGCAGTGTCAGCAGGCTGAGCGTGCAGGGGAACAAAGAACAGACAACCCCCACCCGGGAAGCTACATAAATCGTTGGGAAGGACATATAGGCGCACAAAAGACTTTTTTTATGGAGGCATATCAATTAGCATCCAACCTCCTATCCGACCATGTCGCTTATCTCCCTCCGGAATCTGCGCACCCAGTGGTTCCCGCCCAAAGCGGCCTTCACTGAGAAAGAGCTGCCTTTGCAGAAGGGTCGGGTTTTCATCGTGACAGGCGGCAATGCCGGCGTCGGCTTTGAATTATGCAAGATCCTGTATGGCTCCGGTGCGACCATTTACATGGCATCAAGATCGGAGGCAAGCCCCTCGAACAAATTCAGACTCATGACCCCACCGGTGGGCTAACACGGTTCCCCAGGAGCGTGCCGAAAACGCGATTCAATCCATCATGAAGGTTCAACCTGCGCCGAAGTCGCCCGGCAAGATCAAGTTCCTCCATCTTGACCTCAACGACTTGGAATCAGTCAAGGGGGCGGCGACTAGCTTCGCACAACAAGAATCAAGGCTCGATGTCCTCTGGAATAATGCGGGAACTGGAGCGAACCTGGTGGAAGCCGGCGCTAAAACAGCCCAGGGATTCGAGGCTATGGTGGGGATGCACTGTATCGCGACTTTGCTATTCACCGAGCTGCTGCGACCGCAGCTACGGGCGGCCGCAGCAGCGCCCGAGACACCTCGTGGATCTGTCAGGGTAGTATGGACATCCAGCTTTTTGGCGGAGGGCGCCTCGCCGGCGAATGGGATTGATTTCACCGTGTTAGATAAGGGAACCAAAGATCGCACTCGCAACTATGCTGTCTCAAAGGTAGGAACCTGGATGCTGGGACGGGAGTTGGCACGACGATCCCATCTCGACCAGGAAAACATTGTGAGCGTGGTGCAGAATCCAGGTAATCTAAATGCGGGCTCCTATGCAGGGACTCCGGCGTTTGCCATGTTTTTCATTAGCCCCTTGCTTTATGAGGCCAAGTTTGGGGCCTATACTGAGCTATACGCCGGTTTATCATCCGAGATAACCCTTGAGAAGAATGGCGCCTATATCATTCCCTGGGGAAGGATTCGACCGGATAAGGATTGTCCACGACGAGATATCGTCGCGGCGATGACTTCGGCCGAGGACGGGGGACTTGGATATCCAACACGGTTTTGGGAGTGGTGTGAGCAGCAGTGGAAGCCTTTAGTGTAAATCCCGAGTTTCACTGCTGCATGTCTCAAGAGGTTCACCAGACTTAGGTGATACTGGGTCTATTACAGCCCTAATGCATGTATTCTGTTCTTGATGAGACCCAGAGAGCAAGCTTTATTTCTTCGTCAGTGCAAGACCGAACTTGTTTTTAACATGATCCTCTGGTCTTATAATCATAATGTGACTGTCTTACCCTTTCCGATTGACCGACGCTGAAAGAAAGGGTCGCATGTCGCCGCCGCGTACCGAATAGCCGATGCGATATTGGCGGAGAGGTCAGATAAACACTGTACGCCAGCCAGAACAAGAACTAAAGGGTCGTGAAGGTCGGAAGGATTGATGGTTGGCCAGAATGCTGGCATACCTTCTCGAACGAGAAGACCTCAATTTGGAATTTATGGAAAAAGGATCCAGGTACATGAACGCCAATGGCAGTGATGTTTTTGAGTAGTCGTCGGACAAGCGGATCCGAGGTGACACGATTAGTAGCAAGCTCTGCAGCCGCCTTTTGCAGACGATCAACATTAAGGGAACTGAGATCTCTTGTTGCGGAAGCCCATTGGGATCGTTTGATGAGAAGCGAATTGCTAAGACTCGAATTCCGTAGCTATATAATGTCATATAGCAAGTATATGAACGTCTAGTGACAGGCAAAACCTAGGAAATCCAGTTAATATTTTGTACAGACGGCCGGAGAAAGACTTTTACCTCCGACTATGATTACGAAGTGCCCAATCTGCAAAAGCAACAAGGGATACAGTTATAGCACGATGATCCAGATGACCTCCAATACCCGACGGGAAAAGCGTAGGGAAAGCAGATGTGAGGTAAGGAGGATCCAGCCAGTGATTTAGGAGTGATGCTTGACCTCGCATAGCGTATTCGATCACAGGCGCTCCTAGTTTGCATGGTGAGTGGGGCAACTTGAAGTTGCGTTTCGGGCGGTGGGTTATTGACAACGTTATACACCGTGTTCAGCAGACGCAGGTCAGGGTTCTGCCGGTCTCCATTCAAGTCAATGCTAACAAAGCCAGTGACTGGATGAGAATGGTCGATAGACAGGTCATTGTTGGCCGCAGCAGCTTGCCAGTCATTTTCATAGTTGCCGTCTTGCAAATTAATACTATAGTCCGCCCGTTCGTGATGATCCGTCTCGTCTACACATATCACTTGTTGCTGTATATCTGAAGGTGTAAACTCGTCGGGCCAGTCGCCCATAGCAGAATGATCGATAGTGACAACCCCGTATAAAGGATTATATCGCACGAGATAGCGAAGAGCAGTAAGCACCTTATGCTTCCGAACAGTGAAAAATGGATGGTTGGGGGAATTTTACAGAGCCAGAAGATTTTAATGAGCTCTGCAAAATGTAGGGCAGGACTTGGCAAAATTCGAAGGAGAGGTTTTGGGTCTTGTGGTATAACGATAAAATAGCCGCGCAACGCACGGTATTTTACCGGCGAAGTTTGGCCCCCTGGCCGCAACTTCACGAGCACGCCGATAGGGTGGGATTTAGCGATAAGATATTCTTCGGTCAGAGTGAGGCCCTTAAGAGCGTCTGGGTAGTGCTGGCAAAGAGCCATATTAATATTGTTCTTAGCGGAGAATTTCGGAACTGATTCTCGAAGGAGCGCGATATGGCATGTCGAGCAGAGATTCCAGAAGCCCTCGCTGTAACCGCAGCTATCGAGAGACCTCTCCAGTGACCGTAGTAGGGGATCTCCATTAAGGAACCGACGTATATCAGTATTAGGAACAAACTTGCCGCAAGAAGAGCAGATAGAATCAGTGGTGGCAAGTGTCATGGCCTTCTCAAAACGAGACACGGATAAGCGAATCTGAGAAGGAGAGATCTCGGTGGGAACACATTCGAGGCATTGAGACGAGATACATATTCCTGGCAGAGGAGGCTAAGTCCTTGACTAACAACGGAGGAACTAGTGGGCGACTCTAACGCCCTCTGTGGACGGCGGACTAGTCGGCGCCGAGGAAAACGACTCCCGCGTGTCGAAGAATTTTAGGGTTGAAATGAATTAACGAAAAGGTTAAAAGAAGTTGTGAATAAGTCACCGAAATGAGTAGATGGTGGAACGGACCGAGACATCGTAGGCCTGCGACGGAAACAGCGTGGACAGGCAGTTTCCTAATGCAGTTAGTGCACGTGCTTAAAGGTAGGCGGATCGGTCGATTGATTCTTGACAGCCCGTCCGTGCAACATGTGGGGTCACCGTCGATTGGTAACTAGTATGTCTATAACAATGTCTTCTCCGGCTGCCAGCTTTGGGAAAAGCACACATGTCAGGGAGATATGAGCGATTAAACGAACCAGTGAAGAATTCCTCTTGGCGATGCTCTCGCCCGAGGACCGGACCCGCCCTAGTCTCATATCATCAAATATGGGGCTTGCAGCCCTGGAGGGCTGAGCCCCTTTTCCACTCGTAATCGTACCCAGGTAGCGCCTTGTGTGGGTCCATTCCAACCTTGGAAGGTTGTCAGCCTGCGGCGTCAACCCCTACGGGGGATTATCGCATTCAATAATGCCCACTAGAAACAGATCATCAACTGGTTTCCAGCCTTGTTTTCTCCACCCAATTTCTGTCACTATTTCTGTCAATATTTCCTTCCGGATGATAGAGATCCGTCGCTTAACTGAGCGATTGTCGCTTAGCTGAGTGATTGTATTCCCAGTGCGAGCAGAATATCATAGCTGAACTTGTTTTTGCAGCCTAGCCATAACAGCTTCGGATTGGTGTCGAGAATAACTGATATCCGCACGCCCCTTTTTATTTGCGGCACCGCTTTAAGCTACTTTAGGCTTAGCAGTTCTAGTCCCCACTCCCACGTGACCGATAATCCGACGTACAGTGGGGCTTTTCGTAGGGGTTCAACACCGCCCTTTGATTCTGCCGGTACTGCTGGTCCTAAAATATCATGTCTTCTATCAAATTCACAATGAATATTGAGAAAAAGCAAGATTTGCGATGACGTATTTTGCCGACACTTTCACACATATGTCTGACTGGCAAGGAATCATGAGGCAGGTCATTTTTCTGCAATGTTCGACTGATTGGAAAGCGCGCTAATATGTCTTAGGGTAGGCGGTGTGTGGGCTATAGCCAGGCAATATATGGCCCCCACAGAACCCACTGTGCACGACAGAAGGGGATGTTATATCGAATTACATTGCGGCCAAGAGGCGCTAACTTCAAATGTGGTTTAGACAGGCGTGACACAAGGAAAGGGGTCGTCTTGCGATCATCTCTCGTGTCGATAATCAATTCCCGCAATCTTGGAATCCCATTCCATATAACACACGCTCATTTTCAAACTTTCGTTTTCACATTCAGATGGCCATTCCGCCCTCAGTTTTGGCATTTATATAGTGGCTATAATATTCCATTTCTTTCAAGGGCTTTCCCATGATGAGCACAGTGAATGGTTCCAACCATAAGGACCTTCATGACATCGATACTTTCGCTGAAGGCTCAACAAGTGACGAGCATCCCGCCCTGAATACTTCTTTCGAATCCGACTCCAGATCCAGTAGTTCCTATCCTTTTCAATATGGAACGAGCAGTGAGATCTATACCCTCCAATTCGTCTGGCCAAAGCTGACATAGATTTCTTATCATTACCAAGGACAAGCCGAGCTTGTCTCCACGAACTCAGCCTCAGATGGCATCTTCCATAAAGCGGAAGGCTTTCTTCGACCAGACAAAGCACATATTTCCAATGACGACAGTTTGTCTGGTTGCTCCCATCACGGAAGACCCTGCAGTTCGATCTCCATATTCAAACGACAGACAAAACAAATTGTCAGGCCCAGGATCATCTTCTCGGGTGCATTCGCCGTATCGGCAATTATTATCTCCAATACCAACAGCCCGGCGCTTGTAATATTTATCTGGAACCTCCTTGCTATTGTGCCGCTGTCGATCACGCTCACAGAAGCCACCGAGAGGATCTCCCAGGATTTGGGTGAGACCGCTGGCGCTCTCCTCAATATTACCATAGGGAATCTAGCGGAGCTTATTATCTTGTGAGTCCCAAACTTGGATGTCCTCTCATATCCATCAATGTATACTGACTATCATATAGCGTGTAAGTTTGCATGTAGCACCAAGTCGACTGCCTTGGGACTGAGTTGAAACTAATCTATTATAGCACTGCTTTGTTGAAAAACAATATTAAAGTAGTTCAATCATCGCTCCTCGGCTCCATACTGGTGAACCTCCTACTCGTCCTCGGATCTGCAATCATAGCAGGCTGTATCTCAACAAGCGATGTGACGTATAACACTGACCTCACACAGTCATCTGTGGGACTCCTCAATCTTACAATCTCTTGCCTTATGATTCCAGTAAGGCGGCGTTTCAAGTGTCCCAATTGCATCTAAGGCTGATATTTATATAGAGCGCTTTCTATGGCAGCGTAAAGAGCGTCACTTCTGCTGATCATATGTCGTTATCCTTCAGCAGGGGTGTGTCCATCATTCTCCTCGGCACATATTTCCTGTATCTTTTCTTCCAGTTCAAATCACACGCTCACTTGTTCCACTCTACCCGGCTTCAAGTGCCACATCCAACCGATCCTCAGCCATATGCAGACGACCTCGAATCGCATCCCGCCGAGATTACCACCGCAACCAGCAGAGATATCCGCCAGCTAGAGATGCAAGAGGTGCGATCACGGTCATGTTCAGTCGACGCACATACGGCATCAGCAATGCCACTGTTTCACAGCGAGCCATCTGAAGGAAGAACGAGCCTCCATGGGCAACCGGAACCACCTGTCGGAGACTATGGAGCATGTTGCTGCGACCGCTATGTTGTCAAGTCCAAACGAATGATATCAGTCACCCTCCTCGCCCTATCAACAGTTCTCATCGCTATATGCGCCGAATACTTCTCTTCAAGCTTCTCAAAGCTCAACGAGCAGGGCGTCCTCGGTGAATCATTTGTCGGTTTGATCGTTATTCCCATCGCTGGAAATGTTGCCGA